CATTATTTTTCAAAAATGAGATATTTTCCAATATTTTCAAATAATTGAAAAAAATTACTAATAATAATAACTAAAACTATTAATAAACGTTATAACAGTCGTAAAAGCAAAAGAAAGTATAAGAGTAGTAAATCAATTGGATAAGTAGATGTAGATCAAATTGACGCAAAAAAATTTTAACTAAACAAACAAGTGATGTCTATTATAAATAAGAACATTTAATTAAAAAACCGACAGAAAAATGAATAGCCAATTAAAGTGTTGTCAGTTTTATAAATATATAGTATATATATATAGAAAAAATATGTTGTTTTTAATAAAGAACTCATTTCAAAGTTGATAGCTTTACCAATTAACGAAAAGCTTTTAGATTTTTGAGTTTAAAAGTGGAAACAAAATGCATAGCAAATATTTCGCCATATTTCAAAATGATGAAAGTGCATTCAGTGAAAATTAAAATACAAGGCTCGCCATTCAATGCTGGCCCGTGTGATTGATGAGAGGCATCACTCATAATATTATTATTTTTTTTTTTTGTTAAAGAAAGGATTGAAAATAGCTAGTTCATATCTATGCGTGTATGGAAGCTCCTAGTGAATTAGAAGCAGTCATTATTATTAGCCGGATCTTTAGCATTATTGCGTTCTACCTCTCTTCTCTGTATATCAATTTCTTTGTTCTCTTCAAACTGAACACACGCTAATGGAAAGCACTTTTAAGAGATACTAATGGAAATGCAACAACTCATACAGTCAATAGCCTCCTACACCGAAAAAAGAAATATCACTAAACGAACAGAATTAAGTAGAAATTTTTTTCTACGAGAATAAGAAAAATTGAATTTCAATAATAAGAAGATATAAATTTTTAATTGAAAAAAGAATATGAGATAAAATTTTATTAAAATAAGTTTAAAAATTATGGATAGTAAATTATTAAATTTCTTCATGAAATTTTATTTAATTTTTAAATTTAAGCATCATTTTATCAACATTTAAATACAAAATTTCAAGTTTTGATTTCTTAAAACAATACAATGATTAAAGTTTTAATCCCCCTAAATTTAATTCATACAAAATTTAAATGATTAAAATGTCAATTGACTCTTTTTGAACGTCAAATTGACGTCGCATTTTTTTCCACAAACCCATAGTGAAAATGCAAACTTAGATTTAGAATTAAAATTAATTTAAATTAAAATTGAAAATCAGTATGAAAATTGAAATTATCATGATAATTAACGTTACTATTCTAATTATAATTATAGTTTCAATAATGTTTCAACTATAATGGTATAGTAATTTTGTATTGACTCGATTGGATTCCAACACGAATGGAGGTTATCCCATTTGATGAACTGATTAGTTCCAACTTTGTGGGTTATAATTTAACTCGGAAACTCTCTTCCTCTATTTATTACGAGGTTTAAGATTTCTGTGAAAGCAAGAGAAAAACATTAACGAAAATTAGTCAGTTATTTATAAATAGTATAAATAGTATAATTAATTATAAATAAAACAAATCGTTTTTAATATTTATTAATCGTAGATCAATGTATTTATAGTCAATTTTTACATCACGGCAAACATAACAATATTGTATAATCTCCTTTTTTTTAGATTTATGTCTTTTTTTTCATTACGTCAATTTTTACAGTTTACAGTTCTCTTTTATTTCTTGAGTATAAAGCTTTTGAATCGAAAGATGCTTTAAATTGCACAACTGTATCAGCTAGTTACCTAAGGAGCTTGTAAGAGGATTTAAAGATTTGGTTTCCTTTCAAAGACCTGCAAACACAAAAAGAGTTTAAAGATTTAAACTTTACTTAAGAATTTTATGTTTGATGTATTTAACAGTAAATAATAATCTAGTCAAAATACTTCAATTATTGAAAAAACGAGTTTATTAATTAGTTTGCAAATTAAAATTATTATTTTTTAATACTGTACAGTTTTTTAATAATTTGACAACTTTCAACTGACAAATCATCAATATCTGATATCTATATTGTGTAAGTTTTTCTGAAAACCTAACAATTAGTACAATAAATTAGAATTATAGACTACACGTGTAAGCATATTTAGGTAATGTAATTTTACAAGCGTCTCTGAAATTTAGTGTTCCTTTATTTTCTGTTTCCTCATACTTTGTCTCCAAATTCTGTTTCCGGGTTGCTAAACCGTGACTTGAAGACAGACACCTAAATCGTCTGAGAAACAAAAGAGCTCATATATATGTACACAAGAAAGCTAAATAATGCCGAGCGCCCAACTATTAAATGCTACTACCAATACTTGCTGACTAAAGTTAAGGAACAAACTTTCATGTAACATTTTCTGCACAATGTGCAATGTTGATTGAAATATTTCAGTTTCATTTCCTTCTTATTATACAAACATTTATAATAATAAAAACCTCGGCTTAAAACCATCTTATTTAATGTTAAGGATAAAAGTGTAAAAATGATTTATAAAAATTTTATGAATTGACAAAAATATAAGTATATCAATCGTGTAGAACAAACTACAGATAATAGCGCTAAATTTAAAAATTATTAAAATAAATTGACATTGAAAAATTATATGTGTTTAAAGAAATTATAAATGTAAAATTTTTTTAACATTTAAAAATTAAGAATTAAAACATAATTTAGTTAGCAATTTTTTGACGTAAAAAAATTGACTTCGCACCTTCAAAATCTCGAAGGCCAGCGATACTGTGAGTTTCTTGATGGAAATTACTAGAGTCGGTAGATGTCGCCTCAATTACTACGGCTCGACCAATAATTGAGATAGTAATCAGATTATACTTTGAACGTAGTAATCTAAAGTCCGTTACGATTAAATTTCTCACACAACACACCAACACATCCTTTCTGGCAATTCTCCAGGGTTTGCGTATACAGCTCCAACGAAAGTCGCGAGGTCGTTTATACCTTCGGGAATGTAATTTTCCGTTTGACGTTCGAGTATAGATGAATTTACAGAGTGAATCTCTAATAGTGCACTGAACCTTCCTGCTCTCTGGGCAGTATTAACCATTTTGTTAATCCATTTCTCGATAGATGGCACACGGGGATTTTCCATTTAGAATTTCACTAACTCTCAATCCAAAAAGAAAACGAGGACAAAATTTTTCTTTTTTTTTTTTGGAAAAAAATCACTTTTTATGGATCTCACATAAATTATTCAAACTGTGACAAAACCTCTTATTAGCAAATTTCATTTTTATTACTTAATTTTTTCCCCTTTTTATTTAATGAAAAATTATTTAATAAAGAAGAAAGAAAAGAAGACAATTGAAAAAAGGAAAGGAAAAATTTAAAATTTAAATTCTAAAAAATTCATTATTTTTTAATTCATTAATTTTTCAAGAATATAATAATTTAAGAGCTTTAGAAATTGAAACATTTAACGTGCAGACAATATATATTAAAAGGCGTTTCTGTCGAGGGATTATTACTCGGAATATTTGACATTATTAGTATTACTCCACACATACGTGATATTTCCAGTGAAACGCGAATCACCTGAGACTTCCCATTGAGGCTTGCAGATTACCATAGTAATTCTATCACAGTTTCTATATTCTCTCTCGCTCTCGCCTATATTCTGGAATATCGCCGTCAGGGATTTCGGTTTCACGAATCTTATTGTTGAAATTATATAACGTATCACATTCTCTAGCATTCTGCAAGTTATATTAAATGAATTAGCTAAAACACGACCCAGTTTCAATATATGACTTGTATGTGGGTCATTTTCATTGAACGAGTAAATTCGAGTGTACTATAATTATATTTAATGAAAAAAAAGTGTTTATGTTTCCAATAATGATGTTACAAATTAAAGAATGGTATGTCTACTCATTTCCATTTTCAGAAATTGCAAATATTTAGTTCAAAAGATGTGAGAGTTGATTAAAGTTTGAAATGTAACGTCCCCTGGCTGTCTTCAAGTGCTTTATGGAACTTTTGACGTGTTATTAGTAGTAATACATGTTTTATCGATAATTTTCAATTACAACAACTTTTTCTATACATTCAAACGAAAATAAAAATACATTGAAAAAAGTAAAATATTCATGAATAAATTATTTATCTTTCTATTAACGATGACTCACACTTTTGATGTCCCAAGGGACTCCAATAATAATAATTTCGTAAAAGAAATTATTAACAAAAAAAAAATTTTTTATGTTACGTATGAAGTATTTTTATCCAGCTTTAAGTTAGTAATAATTAATTTTCTTATAAACAATCATATTTTGAAATAAAATACAATTAATGGAAAAACCTATTGTACCTTTTCTGATGTAACTCGCCTGGTTATAAATTGTTTCTAATATCCCATAATAGTAAATATTTTTATATTGTATACGTTGAATTATCAAAAATTATATGATGTAACGTCCCCTGTTCGCAAAATTTAAAAAAAAAGACTGCGCACAACGTGGTGCACATAAACTTTCAACTAAACCTTTAAATTTGACAAATGTCAAATCTTTTATTTATTGAAAATAAATCAGATATGTGAATGGAGGTAAGAATTTTTAATGGAAATATTTAACCAAGTAGTTAAAAAATTAAAATTAGCATTAATTTAGTATTATTTTTAAAATATTGAAAAATATGTAAGGTTAAGAAAAACAAATAATTTAACCAAACCAAACACAGCTGACGAAAGACAGAATGATGAAATTTTTTTATTATTAGTTCAAATATAAATTAATTTATTTCCAAATACGGTCAACTTTTTTCACACTTTTAAGCACGTAACTATCTAAAATTTATGACAAATATAAAATATTTATAAAAATTTTAATACTATAGTATAAGTAAATTTCTCAGTTGAATTAAAAAAATTTTAATTGCAATTTCTCATTACTATTAAGTAGTCACGCTCGGCCAGTTAATATGTTACCTAATTAAACTCTAAATAACATGTATCAAAAAAGAAAATTCAAAAAATTCAATTATTTTTAATGCCGACGTTTCATGTTCACTGAAAATGACCCATGTACGGATAACCAATTTCCAACTGAAATATTATCATTGATGTAAATAATATATTTACTCTAATTTAATATATAACGAACATATTTTTAAATTACAGTAAAAAATAATAAAATGTGGAAAAAAATTAATAAAAAGACTAGTAGAAATGTTACGTCTCAAATAGAGAAATAACAAACAATATAATAATTTATATTTATTTATGTCCTCTCAGTGATTTAGTGAATTTTTCCTGTTTCATTTACAGAACAGAAGGCTGTGTGCTAAGGGTACAAGGAAGAAAGATAATATTGATTTTTAATGACAAAGTGAAAAGTTTATTTAGACAAACATTTAGAGTTATAAAATTGATCTTTGAGAGACAGTATCCTGAAGCAACCATTCTCAGAAATAAAGGAAGTCATTTCACTGCAACAAGGAATGTAAAGGTTACTATAAATTTTTAAAAGGAGTTAGAAAGGATTTAGATAAAAATTATTACGACTTACCTTAAAAATTTAGATGTAAGATGTAGTGCTGCATTCGATCGAGACGATACGAGGATCGATCGAAAATTATTGTATTCTCTATTTTTTTATTCAAGACTATAATATCGGTTCGGTTTATTCGATCGAGATTCTCGAAATACGATCAAGATTAACGAGATTCTCGATTAAAAATCAAATTTAAATTAAAATACTTGTATAAAAATATGTATAAATTATAAAGAATTAAGTTATCAATTTTCCACCAGATTTGAATGGAAATAGGGAATTTTTTATATTTGCATTATCATAAGAAATTGTTGTATTTCTAGACTTGTATAAATTACAAATTATTGATCTGAACATTTTTTTTATTGTATTCGTTATACAATTTTAGAAATAAAAAAATATAATTTCATTTAGTCCAGTTAAAGAACATTATTTTTAAATCAAATTGACTCCTTTAGTGAAAAATACCAAAAGTTGTTAATACGAAAAATAATTTTTTTTAATAAATCGTTAAAACTGTTTAAATAAAACTGCTATTAAACAGTATTTCTAAGTCTTATAAAATTTCAGAAAATCCTTTGAAAAGAAAAATTAGTTGCACATGAATGTTTATCCAACGTCAATAATCAAAATCCACATAAAACTACATTTTTATGTAACAAATAATTTTTTCTCAGTTCAAGTTTTTTATTACTTTAGATTTTTGAAAACTGAAAATTTTTCATGACTTGTCCAACTATTTAAGCACAAAAGCTTACGACAAGTACTTTTTGCGAGACTGTTTCGGTGTTTTCTAATTGTTAACGATGCACGAGAAAATAATCTTTCGACCGGAACAGAAATCGCTTGTATACTTAATAAGTCTCTTGCCATGCGAGCTAAATTAGGGAACTTATTCTCGTTATGTTTCCACCACTGAAGAATATCTGTGTCTTTGTCTGTTCTTCCCAAATCGAAATAATAATCTATTTCTTTGCGCCAATCTTCTGTTGCTTTATTCTTATTTCGGCATGTTGCATTCTTTGATTTATCGTTTTTCGATGAAAAAAGAGCAGCGGGGTCAATATCGTCATCGTCACTTTCTTCACTGTTTTTAGAAGGCAGTGGAAGTTCAGTTTCGGTTTCCTGTACATAATAATCTTTCTTGTAAATATCCTCGAACTTAAATATAGACCATTTGACCATTTCTCGGCCCCAATCGGTCATATAAAATGTTTCCAATTTAAATCTCGGATCAAGAACCAACACAGCACAGTACACCCAATTAGTTTTTGTGTAATGCTTCATTAGCTTACCCAGAGCACATTGGAGGGCATTTTTAATTTTATTATCCATCAATTCTTGGTCTAATTTTGAGTCTAACGTTTCAATTGACTTTTCTAATTTATCAATAAGCATATTTAAGCCGACAATTACTATAGGTAACGTGACGTACTTATCACCAGAAAGAATTGTGGATAAGGATTTGAAATATCGTAAATATTTGACGACAGCTTTTAAAACATCCCAGTCTGCTTTTTCCAACTGTAAGGCTTGGAGATCTTTATCCGTTTCACAAATTAAAGTTAAAGCCTTATCCATTTTTTTAGCTTTTTCGATCATGTCGTAGGTGGAATTCCATCTGGTTTTCACGTCCACGCTTGGTAACAACATTTTTATACCTACAGTCCCACAGCAACATTCTAATTTTATCCTAAGCTTTTCTGAATATTTTAATTTAAGAAATAAAGTTCTTAATTTCTTCACAGGTGAGCAATTCCATTTATCTGACGTTGATATTTCTATGTAATTAGTTAATTCGTTAGCATTTTCGTCATCATCGAAGTCATCGTCGTCTGGAATGTCTTCGTCATTTTGTAAATTTAGTTCCTTTAATAAATCTTGGGCACTTAGATTTAAGATGTGCGCAACACACTTAAAATGCATGTCTGCTATGGAAGATTTCGATTTTTTCAAAAGTTGACCTAATTCATTGATAAATGTTGTGTTTAAAGCTGTATTATCCAACGTAATTCCTTGAACTTTATCTTCCAGACCATACTCTTTCAAAAAACCGTGGAATAATTGTGCTACGCTTTTTCCAGTGTGGGTACCAGATATCGCTTATGAACTCACAGGAAGGTTGACTGGCCTTGGTGATGACCACAGGTCCGGAGTTCAGTTGACCGTGATAAAAAACCCAAATAATTAAATGCTTCCAGAAAAGGAAGAAGAGATGATTTCCATATATTATGGGAAAATCAGGTCTTTGAATAATAGGATAAGTTCTTTTTAACGTAGAAACTTTTAACACTTGACTTGGAAATTCTTCTAAGTCGAACTTGAGTATGAAATCGGGCAGAGTAACAGTAGTTCTACAAAATTTCGTATGAGAAGATGACGTGCTGGTACCAAAATCTGAACTGATCTCTCCTGGCATATGTGGACCTTTCATACAGGATCTTCACAAAGAAATTAGGACCATCTAATCATTGTAAATTAGGGTAACTTCCCTTTTGAAGTGACAAGAATCGTGGTGATAAAAAAAAATCTTAGGTAGACTCTTTTAGTAGAACAATGTACAAAAAGCGGATATTATTTTCTGAATTCGGAGAAAACGCATGTTTGGCGTAGGAGGAACTTCCCAATCATATAAAAATCTGATCTTATCTAAATTAGATCATAAATGTTTTTCAGCCTCGTGACTGTATTATTGATTTTAAATAAAAACAACATTAAGAAAAAGAGAGCTTTGTTACAAAAATGCAGCTGCAAAATTTAGCAAACGTTACGGAGACGTGACAGAAAGAAGAAAAAAAGAAGAGATGAAAATAAAAACTAAAGAAATATCGAAAAAAATTATATAAAACAGAAATGAAATATGAAGAAGTTAAATGAATTTATTTTTAATAAATTTCACATCCAATTTCAAATGGGAATCACGTCGTAATATAGAAAAGAAATATTTAAGTGGAATTAAAGTGGCAAGTGAGAGAAAAGAAAAAGAGATGATTGATGATAAAAGCGTATTTTAAAATGTAATAATCATTTCTGGTGCAGATTTTATTGACAAAATTATTCCACCATTTAAACTAGAATATTTTATAAGCTTATACGATAAATCCAATAAATCATTTCCTAAGAACTTTTATATATTAAATTAAATGTACAACATGGATTTTATAAAAATTGTATCGTTATATTGCCCATTTATTGTCAATTCTCGAATCAAAATCAAATTGTTTCATAACATGATATTGAAATTTATTCAAGTCCATTGACTTTTATTCACGTACAGCGACTATTATTATACTGGCAACGTTCATGGTGTTTTCGTTTATTCCTATAAAATTTACATGAAATGGTCATACTTTTTTTATCATGTCTTTTCATCTTCTTTGTATAATAAAAACTAAAAAAAAATTGTCATTTCAAATATAGAAATTATCAAATTTATTTGATTTAATTAAAATTTATTCTATTCATGTAAATATTTATTTCCTACTAAAATAGTCAAATGAGAAAATCTTAATAAAATATAAGATAAAAGAGGCGATATAAAATATTGTGTATATAAAGTTTCAAGAAAACAATTAATGTCACACCGCATTGAAAATTCATCTTATTTAAATTTCAGTTACAAAATAATCATGAAAATCTATGAATACTGACCTGGGGATAATAAACAAACTTCTCTTATAGTGAGAAGTTTCTCTAACGAAGATAGAACTTTCATCGTTTCATTCAGGCTTCAACTGATGCAGGAAGAAGGAATTTTCAAGGGACCTCGTTAATCTTTCAATGATAACAAAGCCATAGGAGCAACCTGGGGTTGTTCGAGGTATAGAGCTTCATCCTTTCACGTTAAAATCACGATCTCTCAGCTAAAACTCGGAAACTCTCTTGGACACAATTAATATCACAAAGCTTATTAAGTTGAAAGCTGAAGTTGACATTTTTTAAATCTGTAAATTTAAACATTTTTTAACTTTAAAAAAAATTGTTTTACATTTTACTATTGGTTAAATTAATTAAACATTATGTATGTATAAACGAATTTAAAAAAAATAAATACTGTTATATTTAAAAACAATTTTTATAATAATCGGCTCACGTCGGTCTAACACTTTGCGTATCATCGGCTCATGTCGGAAAAACACTTTCTTGTATCATCGGCTAATGTCGATCAATCAACGTTTCGGAACGATTTACCTTCGGTTATTTCCGTCATGACAGTGCGAGAAAGTAGTGCGACAATGTAACTCTCTATTCTCATTAGTGAATCATTTTCATAAATTAAAATTTACGTTTTCCATGCGTGTGTTATGAAAATTAATTTTTAAATTAATACTATCATACGTAACAAAATTTGAGAAATAATTTCACTTTTTTTAAATATTATAATGATTCACAAAACTCTGTTTTTCACTCTTGTAACAATTCAAATTCATGCCCACGCTGAATCAGTAATACTGAAAGAGATCCAACAGTTTTCAATAGACTTGAATGCTGCGTTCGAGTGTCATTTAAATTCAACACATGATTCGTATGCAATATATACATCGGCTTGGTGAAATGCAGCATCATTAGATCTTTACGTTTGGTTCCACTTTTCAAAATTGGTTTTCAAAATAATACACTAGGAAAGTAATCCTTCTTTTTTGTGTATTTCTAAAAGAATATATCATATTTCACTTTAAAAGAATAAAAATTTCCAATGAATTTGTTTTTAAATTTCTTCTCCTTCTTAAAAATAAGATGATATCGAACTTTAGGAAGATTTTTGGAATTGGAAAAATACAATTTTAGAAAGACAAAAGTATTGTAATTCTTTTTTTTAAACCATTTTTTGTGCCATCTTGAGAATTTCAAGCAGTAAAATTATGGCAGGAAGGCGAAAGGACATTGGGTTAGAAAATCGAAAAGTGAATAGATCAGTAAATGTGATTCGAGTTGCGAGCATATAGCTCTGTTGTCGTTGCGCGCAAGGTTTACATTACCATTTTGGACAACGGCCAAACCCCTCTGATGGTCCGCACACTCGGCAAGTCCCCGATAAAAGATAAGGTCCTCTCACCCTCTTTCGAGGGTATATTTAGAAAGCTCACATGTAGACACATTCTCTTCCTCTTGGTCTCTTCTCTCTTTCCCTCTTCTCCGCACCATCCCCGCCTCTTTCCTCCATCACTGATAAACATCCCGCAATGAACACACCCTCCGAAGTGCCAGCGCTCTTGTGGTCTCACTCACAGATTTGCAAGCTGAAATTTCATTATCAGGATCGCTATTATTTTCACGCGAGATTATCTTATATGTACGCCACCCGATGTCGACGATGCTGAAAACATCATTAAATTTCTGAAAGAGCTTTTTCATTTACAAAGCTTAGAGATTGTATCGCACATTTCATTTTTTAATTCTAAAGCTTTATTGCTAAATTTATATAATAGAACTAGAATAGTAGTGAAGGAAAAATGAGCATTTTTATCTTTTAGAAAAGTTGGAATTTGAATTAGGTAATTTTATGAATTATTTATTTATTTTACCTTTAAAAAATCTAGTACCTTTTATAACGTAATTGTTATTTTATTATTGATTTTATTTTTATTTATTTTATTATTGTCACTTCAATTCAATTTACGTTATCTACACTTTTAATTAATAATATAATAAGACGCCAAGTTATTTTTATAGGAAAATAACTAAAACATTCTACACATAATTAATAATTAAAGTTACGCCTGCTGGCTCAAAATTTTATTGGGAAAAACATTCTAACAAACCGCAGACAGGGGGGATAAGGAGATACAACATTAATTAGACAGAATTTAACAATAATATTATTTATTAATAATTACATCAAATTTTGAAAGGTTAATTTTGTGAGAATGGCAGAAGGCTGAATAACAAAGATTCAGATTTATTTATTAAATTTTTAAATAATGTGATCGATTCAGTAGGAACGACTCATAATATTAATTAGGGGACTCACCGACTTGTTTTTACCACGACGAAACCACGACAAAATTAGATTTTAATTTAGGTTTTACAATAGAGGATAAACACGAAACGCACTGTACTAATACCAGGATGAATATGAGAGTAAAATGGCTGACGAGTCAAACTTGAAAGCGTCGCTAAAAAGCGCCCTCTTTTCTCGGTATCATTCAAATTAATATTCAATATTTATTTAATCCACGATCGATAACCGCTATGCGACCATCAGTAACATAGATTCCGGTACTATCCTATGTGAAGTTGATTGACGCGAGGAGTCCATGGAAATTGACTGCTAGTATTGATTAGACAGATCGTCAAAAAGACAGCAATTTCGTCTTCCTGGTGTTCTTGAATATTCGGGACTCTCATCCAAATATATACACCAGGAAGCTCTTCCCTTGGTGACTTCTAATTTCAATGTTAATTAGTGATGTCCTCAAAGTATTTATAACCCAGCGATTATCCTCAATGTCTCGTCAGAGTTTTCATAACAGAACGAAAAAATAAATAAGAATCGAATTTAATTATTATTAGTCAACTATTAATCTGACGACTTTGGCAAGTTGGTTTATTAATTAAAAAAAGTTTATTTTATTTTATAAAATAAACGAACAATCGAAATTGAACATCACAATTATTAAATTTGACCTATCAAAATTAAAAATTAACCAATTTTGTCTTTCAAATAAGTTGTGACAATCTTTCAGATTGTCACCTCTGTTTCACTTGAGATGCACACCCGAAAAAGCCCTGGAGTGGGATTACGAATAGCAACAGCGCTACGAAGATTTCGCTACGTAGCGATTTGAAGCTACATTCACTTAAAAAAAAATTTTAGTTACTGGGTGACTCAAAAAAATTGTATCAGTTTCACAGATTTAGGTTATCACAATTGTTTCGCTGGTAAAATTCAAAGATAGAAATTATATTATGAGTACTTTTTTAAAAGCGAAAAGTATAAAATTAAAAATTATGGATTCAGGTTAAATTTACTCGAATAATTAAAATTCAAATAATTTTTTTGTAAATTATTTCATTGTAAAGTAACAGTTGGCAAACATGAAGTTAGAGAATAGTTTCCACCTTCGTGTAGTATTTGTTTGCTACTTAGATAAAACCTTTTAGGAAATTGACATGAATTCTATGTCAAAGGTCTTATCCAGTAGGGTTATGTTTATATTCTCTTCGGAATTACGATCTTGCAGTTTAAGTTTTGAAAAAACTGTCAACGCTATTTTATTTTGGACATCATTTAGAACAAATTTCACTAAAAATATGTAAGTTTTTACCTTAAATAGCGAAAAGCGCTATTCGTAATACCACTACTGATTCCGTATTGCAAATTAGTTTTATTGTTTTGCTTCACGTTGGACTCCACCGTTGCTCGGTCGTTGGCATGTAGGCTTTCTGCAAGCTTGCAGTTTTCTTGGGTGGCGTGATTTCGGAGCATTGCGCTCACCTGTGCCAAACCTTGCGTGTTAGCATTTGATTGGCTAGAAAAAGTGGTGCTATAAACGGGTGTTGTGCAATTTTTGATTAAAGAAAGATTTAACCTTACAGAATTTTCCTTTCTTTTACATGTCAAAAGAAAACCTTTGTGTGAAAATGAACCTTTTTATGTTTCACAGAATGCTGTCCCTTGTTGATGTTCTTAAGATATAACATAATAATGATTAATTATCTGTTTTTGTTCATTTTACAAATATGCGCATATTAATATACAATATATTTAATAAATAAATAAAATAAAAGTTACGGACCAAATGATGTAATAAAATTTTCCACGTGGTCGCTGCCTCAATAATTATGATTAAATGATGAGGATAATGAATTTTGGCGATATTGAGATGTTATAAACGAGATGAACTATATATGAACTCCAGATAAAGATGTGCATATCCAGATCCAATTTTCTTCGTTTAATTTATATTTTTGTTGACAGATACCATTATGATTCTTGTGCCTCACAGGAATCCTTACATTAAATATTTCAAACCGCAGATGTATAAAAACCGCCACTCTATACTTATATAAAAAAAATAATTTATAATTAATAGATATAATGAGAGTGAGAGCGTATTATGAGATAGTGAGAGGAGTGAGGTTAAATTTAGCGTAGGTAAGATAGGACACTGTGAAAAATGAATGAACAGTTAGAAAAAATTATTAATGGAGGAGTGGAAAATAGAAGACGTAGAAAGGTAACATCTAACATGTAAACACAGTAAAAACCTGAGCTCATTTTCCCTGCGGTTCAAAATGAGTCAATGGTAAACGACATAGAATGTGGCGCCACATACTTGACACATTTTTGTTGCGGATAAAAATTTTTGCTGACTGGATCATTTTCGCCGTGGCGGCCTCGGCATTAGAATAGGGCCCATGTTAGTTACCGCGTGTAGTAAGAGACGACTGAAAGTAACCTTCTGCTGGAACGAAAGCGGAGTACCAGCTAGGACGTTGTCAGTGCAGAAACGTTCATGCATGTCAAATATTTGTTTGTCCGCCCTCATGAGTTCTGTGAGAGTCAGATAATTGAGAATGCGTCCCTTAAGCCGGAAGGTTCAACTATGATGTTCCAGATGGTAATGGTAAAGGACTGTTATTGTCTGAGGAGGTTTGCTTAACAGTTTTTCAGCATCAATCTCGCCGCCTGTCAACAATAACAACTCTGTGTAGCATGCGTCAATTTGGATCCAAAAAATTTCTAATGGATTCAATTGTGACGTCCCGACTAGCTATGGTAAAGGACGGTGGTTTCGGCACATGTGCTGCTTGTCTTGACCTGAAGTTTTTCGGGAAGTCACCACCTTCCGGTTGGTCAATACATGTATGTGGTGCATGTCGTCGTATTTAAACAGTAACCGACCGCTAGTATGGCTTCTGGTTCCCCGGATACTGGAAAGTGGTACTCGTACCTGAGTCAAATGGTACCACGGGACGCGCCTGGCGCCCAGGAGGCCTTCGGGTCTCCGCCAGGCATTGGTCAGGGATTCGTGGTGACAATGGTTACAGCCTACATCGCTTGAGGTTAGTGTGCGTTAGAACGTTTTTGCACACGTCTTTTGCATTTGGTGTGTAAGTTGCATTAACTCAATTCGGGTGGAAACTGCAGAGTTTCCAGGAATTGGAAAAGTCCCGCCTCTTACCAAGAGTGTCAATCGTGACTTAGGTCGGTCGCATTGTTAATTTTTGGTGACTGGAAGAAATTCTCCGTTATCAGTGTAGGCCAGGCACTAACTCTTGGTGTTCCAGAAAAGGGAGGAGAAGAGTTGATAGTACAATTCATGAAGAAGTAGAAAAGAAAACGAAACATTCTGATTAGGAGAAGAAGGAAGGAAAGATATGAAAGAAGGAGTGTAAAGAGAAAAAGGTAAAATTGTTGCTAGGGATTACGGCAAGAGTTAACATCAGGAAGATAAAAGAGGTAAAGGTGAAGATAAGGAATCACCGAAGTGGAATTGGGAAATAAGGAAGAGAAGAAGGAAGTAATGAGGTTGAAGGGAAAATTGAAAGAGCGTCTGGAAAGAATTGTTGACAGTAGGATAGAGAGAACAATAAAATGGTCATTGAAAAAAAGTGTTGGTTGATTTAAGAAATGGAAGTGTGGTAAGGATGTGTTATGGTGAATGGATTAAAATGTCGGGTGAGAGAGGATACAGAAGAGGTTGTTAGAGCAAGAATGAATGATGAGGAAGATAGTAAAGGTTGCATAGGTGGATGGTGATTAGAAATGTGTGAGGTTTTAAAAGGTGATCTAGTAGGTTGTGACATAGGTGAAAATAAAGAGATAATTTAGAAGAAGAATGGGTAATGGGTTGTTGGCTGATAGAATAATATGAGATATTAGAAATCTCGAACCCTGATTTATATGCAAGATGAGTAAACAATTTAAATATAAAATTAATTATGAATTTAATTTTTATAATAAAGAAGCTCTTTTACTTTTCTCTGAAAATAATTTTTTTTTTTAATTTTGAATCTTATATATACGTGATAAGGAGAAGCGATGTTTGAGATAATGGATTAAATGTTATCGTGTCCTGCACTGAAAGCTATTATCAAGCTATCGATTGATGGATTGTAAATGGTACCATAGTGTGTAGAGTGTAAGCTTCACTGAAGGTGTGTTTGAAAGTGCTTGCAGATGTATCTTGGCAAGATACCAAAGCTCTAATGTTATCCGGCAACAGGAGTTGAGAAATCGGTCTGTGATGGTGAAATTATCGGTACTAGAAAATTTACAGTTTGTTGAGGAGCACATAACACGCTGCTGCTTTTGCAGATTTCAGTGCAACTATATAGCGCTTAACAACTTGTAATTCTCTAACACTGATAATATCTTTAGGATCGTATACATATTATAACAATCCTATTATTACAAATTTTAAGGTATTTTCCAAAATTGATTAAAAATTTTTTATTGTATAATTATTATTAATATTTTTATATATAATAATATAATAATTGAATTTTAGAAAAATTTAAGAAATTTGTAACTTGTTTTTAAAGAATTTATAGCGAAAGAGAAAGTTACAATTTGTCGTTTCTCACAGTAGCAAGTAGTGGGGGGGGAGATCTTAATGAAACTTTTAAGCCGCTTATATATGGTTTGCGCTTAATAACAGTTTTTCTGACGTTCAAAATACATTTTGAAGAACTTAAACCGCGCGTTTCCTGCTCGTTTTTATGAAAAATTGACGAGGCTACTGTTTTCGTGGGGGATTATATAAGCATTTTTCCTCTTGAGACATATTTTGAATTCATAAGGACATGAAAGAAGAAAGGTAACTGAAAACTTTTCGCATTGAGCACATTTTCCAGCAGCAGAAGTAGCAGCAGTGAAGCAATTACTGTCCAAAGTTTGAAGATGTTGAAAAGATTCTACCTATTGGATGGACGCTCGACACGGATACTTTGAATGGAATTTCTTTTATGCGAATTCAGTGACTTAATTTCTTTTAAAATTAAATTCTCTAATTGAAAAAGTATATAGATGAAACAAATTTTTTTTTTATTGATAATTTAAAAATAGCAATTGGACGTTAGTAAATGAACTAATTTTAAAAAACTTACAATTAGTAATTATTAATTTCTAATTTCTTAAATTTTTATTGATAATTTGTAATATGTCACCAATTTTGCATTATTTTTATTTAGTAATTTTAGTTAATAAGGCAGACAGTGAACAAGTAAAATTTTTAAAGAAAATTGCATTGATATGATTTCTTTATTCTTTTCGTATACAAGAATAGTTCCGTCCTTACAGTTTCTGATTTAAAAAGTCTGTACGAAAAGTCACAATTACAAATTCCATTAATACTTGCGCATTTTAAATACTGGAGATTTTAATTATTCAGACACAGCTATAGTTGGATTTAAAAATAAAATCGACCGAAGACTTTGAATTAAAAACGACACAATAGAATTATTTTGAAATATTAAATCACTTGCTTCAAAAGTGATTTATTAAATTTAAGAACATTGTCGTAAATCCCATGGATTTAAATGCTTCCCTACAAATTTATGTACGCTACTTAATAAAGTGATCCAATTTCCCAAGGTTTAAAATTTCATTATAAGTTTAAGGTACAATCTTCAAAAATTAAAACATCTTCCCTCAGAATTTTCCTTTTTTAAAAATTAAAAAAACAATATAAAACATAATATTGTTTTTTTAATTTTGTATCTTTTCTGTGTACTACAATTTTCCTTGAAAACAATTTTTGAAAATTTTCAACATAAGTACCTGTATTGTATATTTAGAAATGTCTAGAAAACAAGAGGAAAATAATAAAAATAACTATTTACCAGTTTCTTGTAGTAGAAGTTCATTCAAAAATAAACAGAATGTAAGAATTTGGGTGACCTTATTTTCGAGAAAGCAAACAGGAAATCTAACACAGGACTGTTTCCTTTATATGTATGTAGTATAGAAAAAGAAAAAAGCCGCGTATTTCTGGGCAATTGATCGGGAACCATTGCGTTTCATTCTTCCTACCTATAGTTCCTCCCCAATTCGATTGAATTACCCGCTTCCACGTGATGGCAAATAGAGGCGGTAACCCTTGATTTTTCTTCGATTTTTCCAAGTAACGAAAATGCAATTTTATTCTATTATTATATATATAAGCCTACGAATACAAACCATTTACTATAATTCAATATTATTATTATTATTGCACTGATAAATTAAATTGGATTTTTTTTATTACTTAATGCTTTAAAATTGCTATACAACTGAAAAAAGATATAATGAAATAAAATAACTTTTCAGTTACACCTTTCGAGAAGGAAAATATTTATAAAATAAAACCGGATTATCTGAATCAAGAGATATAAAAATCAGGTCAAACATATTGAGGGGGAAGAAGAAGAGGCAAAAATATACTTCCTAGAAAAACGAATCTGTTTCTCTCGTTGTTCTGCCTGGGGAAGCTTACAGGCTATTATCGAAAAAAATCGAATAAAGCTTATAAATTAAAAGAATTTTAAAACCAATCCTTCAATAAATGGATCTATATTTATATATTTTTTAGGATAAATATAGATAAAACATGTACCTACTTTTTGTGTGTATCATTATAAAATCAGTATCAGTTTTAAAAAAATTAATCCGAAAAATGAATTATTTTGTTTGTGGTATTAATTTAATCTGCAATGCTTTTTAATACCTCAGAGTGTACTGTGAAATTAATATTTCACAAATTCGGTTTTTAAAAAAAACTTAATTAAAAAATTAAATAAATGCGGTAAATAATAATCAACAGTTCATATTTAATAACATAACAAACCAAATATACAAACATACGAAAACAAACTTTACTATTAATAGAATCAGAAGTGAGTAATCAATTTTTTCTTTTTAAACATCTTTTTGGAAAATTATTTAATAACCATGATGACTTTCATGATGGCCATGACCTCCATAGGTACCTCCAGAATGATCATTGCCTCCTGAATTATGAACATGTGCGAAAAATCCTCCATGAGGATCAGCATGATATTTAACAGTTCTTACATTGCCACCTGGTTCCTTAATTGTGTATTCACCATGAACATTCTTTCCTGTAGATTAAAAAATTGGTTCCAATTTTTAATGTATTTATTTTATAGTTTTCATTTATTATTCATCGTAATAATATTTTAATTTTAGAGTTATCAAAAACTAACAGGATATTTAGATATATTCACCAATATAAAGATGTTAATTTCTGTTTTCTTTTTCAAAATAATGTTTTAATTTTTTCCAAAAACTTATTTTCAGAGTTATTTTATTAATAAAAATTAAAAAAAAAACAGCATTACCATCACGATGCTCTTTCTGTCCATGATAATCTCCAGTGTGATGATCCTCAACACCATATGAAAATTCATATTTAGGATGGGCTACATAATCAATGTGATGATGCCCATGTTTGTCATGAAGTGAGATTTCGTGATGTGGTCCCTCAACTGGTCCATGGAAATGAGCAAAACTATGAGCATGACCTGCTAATCCATGTTGGACTCCCACGAGAGCAAGAACAACCGAAATGGCGACAAGCTACATTTTGGAAGGGGAAAAATTATGAGAGTACATTATTGGAAATACAAATTAGTTTCAGTTGATTCAAATAAATTCTCATTTTTTAATAATCATTAAAATCAACTTATTTTTGTCTCAAGTGTTACCAAAAAAAATAAAATGATCATCATTTCATTGAAATTTTACACATTTGATGAATTTATCCATCTTCTATCAACTCTGTTTATAACTCAATTTGATAGTTTATTTATGATTAATTATACATGATGTGAGTTGTTAATTAGCTTTAGATTAGCAGTTAATATATGTAGGTAATATATATTTTGATTTGAAACGAGAATAGAGGTAATAATTTCATCAAAATCGATTATTATCAATAATATTAATATAATTGACAAACTTGATGTAAATTTTGAATCATGATATAGTATATATATATATATATATATGCTTCTGATACTTAGCGTAAACTCAAACTAACTTTGAATCTAATTTGAAATTATAAGGATATAATCAATTGAGCTATTAATTAAATTTAAAGTTGTTATAGACAAACCTTGAAGGCCATGGTGTGTGTTGTATTCACTTGGATCATAAACTTGAATGGTACAGCATCAAAAGTCGAGCGAGTTTATATAGCTGGAACCACAGTCAGATTTTTTGCCAATCGATCGAAGAATTTCGCCATTACATTGTTATTTAATCCATTATATTTTGCACGACATGACAAAAAGATATGGACCAATCACTTTCCTATGCATAAGTGTCGCACACCATTACTTTATATTCACGCACGAAAACGGCATTCAAACTAATATATTATTAATTTATCACCAAACTTGTAGACAATTTTGTTTTTTTTTTATTACTCCTATTTTTAATATAAATATAAGAATAATAATTATTATTTATTTTTAATAATATTTATATAAAATATAAAGAATTAAATTAATAAGAAAATAAATTTTTAACCTGATTTAAAAGCAGTATAATTTTTTGCAAAGAAATAGAAATTGGAAAAAAAAATTTTTGATGTATTTCTGTCGATATTTAAAATATTCGATACTTTGCTAATGGAAGAAATTAGACACCTAATTTAATATAAAGAAGCATAGAGAAGAGGCTAACAAATTTTTAATGAACTCAAGAAACGTCTAACTCCTCGAGTTTTAATTAAACCAAAACTAATATAACTGACTTCCTCAAAGCCTTAGCCTGTAAATAGTTTCATGGTGATGTGTATCAGAGAAGCATTAAACTTACCCTCTAGCCTTCAGGCTAAAACTTTCAACAAATCTTTGAACACAAATATGGACCACACTACTCACAGGGGCAAAATTTACGTATATGTACGTCTTAAGTCAACCACTTCAAACCAATGCTGTAATACAAAACAACAAAACCTATATACAAATAGATATATACATGTACTTCATTTAATTTGAAAACTCTCTATTTAGAATTCAATTCATTTAAATCATTTAATTTCATATAAATCATGAAAAAAATGATAAAATAAAGAAAATAAAAATGTAAATGGAAAAATCAAATTATAAAATAATATTTTTAAAGCGAAAAAATATTAAATAATATAAAAATACAGAAATTAACAGAAAAGTAATTAAAAACTTTTTTTTTTATATTTATACGTTTATGTATACATTTGTTAAAAAAATATACAAATAAAAACAGAAAAAGCGAGAATATTAATATCAAAATCAAACAAAAAAATGTTTCGTTTTTTTAAAAACAATGTGTACTCGAAAATTATATAAACAAGCATGTCAAATATACAATAAACCAAAGACAAATAAACTGAAATGAAATATAAATTTTCAAAACTTTTCGAAAAAACAGATGATCAATAAAAATAATAAAAGAAGACAATATCGTCTTTTAATAAAAATGTAATAGTGATACAGTTTAATGAAAAAAAAAAATAAAATAAGTGCAGATAAAATAATAAAATGTAGCAGAATAATAATTATAAAAATAATAGTAACAATTATTAGAAGAAAAATAAGTAAAGAACAAAAATTTTAAAAATGAGTATAATAAACAATAGAATAATTGAACTTGTATAAAAATAAAATAAATAGAAAAAAAAGTAATGCACTTCTGTCAAAGTTCTTATTCAAACTGGCAAACAAGATGAGAAAATTTGTCATCGTAGAGTAGATATTTCAAACCATCAGGAAGAACAATTTCGTTAACAAGCTTTGTCTGGGTCATCGATGCGTGAGAGAGAAAGAGAGATGTTCAAGGGGAGTGCCTGTACTATACCTACAATAATTTCCATGTCACCAGAATTATCCCGAACAATTTAGGATTTTCTCTCAAATAGAATCCATCGCAGTCAGAACCTGAATTGTTCTCCAATTAAAAAGTTTTCTGGTCCTTTCTTTTTTTTTTTATTATTATTATACTCTGAGAAAATCTCCTTCATTTACTCTTAAGAAAAGTTTTCCCTCCTCAGTGTCCGCACGGATTTCTTAAGAATTTTATTTAATCAGCTTGGAAATAAAACATTGAGAGGAAATTATTCTCGAATAAAAGATAATGAAGATGAACATTTCTTCTCCTTCTATTTTTTTTAAACAAAAACTTTTATAAATAGATGAGTATATATTTATAAAGAATCTGTCATAAAACTCTACAAAAAGTATAGATTTAAATAATCAAATAGAAAACGATCACAATGGTGTTATACTGATAATCAGTACCAACTATACTAGATAAAACACTTAGGAGTAAAATTTAAAAAATTTTATATACGCACGGAGAATCGAACTCTATATATGAAAGGCAGCAAGTGGGTAACGGATACCGCGCAGCTACGCTAAAACGAACATATTAACATATAATTTAATAATTGATACTTTAAATTTCTTAAATATATATCAGATAAATTCTTATTTGAATTTGTATAGATTTTTACTTGATCTAATTTTTGTTAATCATTTAAATTATAAATTATTTTAATCTTCTAATCCATTATTATTACCGATTGACAATTATCATCCTTCATTAATTTTTTCAATTAGGAGCGTTCCATTTCATGAGGGACTGTCGAAAAATTGATTTTGTTTATACTTCGAGATTTTGTTTTGTTTGGGGTGTTAAATAAGTATGCTAAAATGTTTGGCAAAGTTTTTTATATTTTGCAAGATATTTGCAATTAAACAATTTTGTCACTTTTTTCAGGAATTTTTATCTCCCAAACTATTGATCGGAGAAAAAACTTTCTAATTAAAAATTGTAGGGAAAACATTGAAATTTGATAATATAATTTTTAAAATTAACAAAAGTTAATTTTTCAATAAAATTTATTTAAACAATAATTTTAATTTAATTTAATTTTAATAACCGATAACAATACTTAATTCATTTGCAAAAATTTTTGAAAGTCTCATTTTTGATCATTTTTACCAAGCTTTTTTGGATTTAATTACACAGAAAATTAAAAGGCATTAAAATAAGCTGCAACGCTTATTATTTTAATCCAATTTTGCTTATTTTAATCCATTTTGGTATTAAAATAAGCAAAATTGGATTAAAATAATAAGCGTTGCAGCTTATTTTAATACCTTAAAATTTTCTGTGTATTGATAAGCAACATGGATTTGTCAGAGGTAGGTCTGTTATTACAAATTTAACAATTTTCACAGAAATGATAACTTCGAGTCTTGAATCGGGCTGTCAGGTGGATGCTATTTATGCTGACTTTGCCAAATCATTTGACAAAGTTGATCATATTATACTCGTAAATAAACTTAAATTAATGAAATTGTCATCTGATTTGGTGGATTGGGTCCATAGTTACTTAATTAATAGACCATTAAATGTGCGTGTGAGACATATCTGGTTTGAGGAGTTTATTGCTCTATCGGGAGTACCACAGGGATTTAATTTAGGGCCTCTTTTGTTCATTTTATCGATTAATGATATAAAACAAATTATAAAAATTTGTCTGTTTTTATTGTTCGCTGATGACTTAAAGATGTACCGTAGAATATCTACCAGTTCAGATTGTCTTTCTTTGCAGGTTAATCTTGATAATATTGTGCATTGGTGTTAAGTTAACAATATGCCAGTAAACGTTAATAAATGTTTTATAATTTCTTTTTCTAAAAGTCGAGATATTGTTGCCTACAACTATGCCATTGGGATATATCAACTGGAAAGGAAAAAGTAAGATCCGTGAACTTGGTATTATTCTTTGTAATGATTTATCTTTTGATGATCACATAACGAATATTACTAATAAAGCCATAAAGTCTTATTATTCCTCTTAATTTGATAATATAAAAACATTAGGAGTACTTTCTTCACATTTGTTAGGTCACTCATTGAGTCATTATCAATAATATGGTCACCATACCAGCAACATCATAACACCCATGTTGATCGTGTGCAAAACGAATTTCCACGTTTTATTGCTTACCAAGCAGGTGTTCCCTTTGTCTTTTTTTCTCATGATTATAGTAATCCTAGAACGGTTTTTGTATACCTACAATTGAACAATGATTTCTTCTTGCGGACTTGCTTCTTTTATAAAATAATCAACAGTGTCATTGACTGTCCAGAAATTTTGTCAAAAATTAATTTTTTTGTTTCTCGTAGAACACGTATGCCAGCACCACTTTTTTATGTGGCTCTTAATAGAACGGCTAATGGAGAGCACTCTGTTTTGAGAAGACTAAGTAGGGAAGCGATTGGTATATGTAAAACTATTAATTTCTTCGAGTCTTCCATTTTAAAATTTATTAGAGTACTACGTAACCATATACTTCAAGATAATGTTGGCATCGTGATCTAATTATATTTTTCTTTCTTGTAATTTGATTACTTTTGTAACATTATTATTCAGGTACTTATATAGTCAAAGGGCACAGCCCGTTTACAATTTCTAAAAAAATAAATATTTTATCTAAGAACACTAATTATTCATTGAATATATCACTTCTAAATTTTCTACTATTACTAATAATAAAATAAAAATATTTGTATTTAATTCTTTAATTAAATAACAATTAACAATTGTTTTCATTAAAGTTTGCCATAAACAATTACAATAACAAGATATAGAAAGTATTTTTTGTAAAAAGTTTTTAAATAAGAAATTTAAAACAATGCTAATGAATGCTTTCGCAAGCTTTCATTTCGCGGTTGATTAGTATCAGCTAGGTCGCGCGTCAACTATATACAAAGTTGCAACATTTAAGTACCTACTTGAAAGAACGACATTGCAGGGTTGCGAAGTTTCTCGCGCAGTGTAGTGTTCAGGTGTATATATATATAGTTCGATGGCAAGATTTCACTTTGCGAGAAAGTTTTAAAAAAAGCCTTTTTCATCAAGTCAAAGTCACATTTTATACTATATATATATGTATACGAAGGACGCATATATGTATACTTATAATAGTGTCGGGCAGTATAACTTCTAACCTGAAAAGTATATTCTTAGCAAGTGCTATACTGGTTTTAACAAGGCATAAACTTTATTCAGAGAACTTTAACCAACGTTAATCTCCCATTGTTACACCCATACATTATTCACTAAAAGGATATAATTAATTCTCTTAATCAGATTTAACAAGGGAGCTTTTTTATGATTATAAGAGAAACTTTCACGCATTTGACCATCACTCACGAACATTGAATAATTTCTAGTAATTACGTTACTTTTGAAACAAAAATATAAATAATATACAAATATAGGTATATATATATATTGTAACGCTGAATTTTGTCGCGTACAAGTGACCTAAAAATAATAAAGTGAAATAAATTTTTTTGTAAATAAACGAAACCAGGGTGGGAATCCAGCCATAATGTCTGTAAAATATTATAAATTGTAAAAGTTGTTTTCTTTTGATACTCACTTCATTTTGTTTAAATAGTAAATTCTCTTATTAATAAACCAACTTGCTAAAGTCGTCAGATTAATAGTCGACTAATAATAATTAAATTCGATTCTGATTTGTCCTTTCGTTCTGTTATAAAAACTCTCGCTAGGCATTGAGGATTCTCGTTGGGTCATAAATACGTTGAGGATATCACTAATTATTATCATTGGAATTAGAAGTCACCAAGGAAAGAGCTTCCTGGTGTATATATTTGGATGAGAGTCCCGAATATTCAAGAACACCTGGAAGACGAAATTGCTGTCTTGTTGACGATCTGTCAAATCAATAGTGGCAGTCAATTTCCAAGGACTTCTCGCGTCAATCAACTCTACATATGATAGTTCCGGAATCTACGTTACCGACGGTCGCATATCGGTTATCGATCGTGGGTGAAATAGTTTATTGAATATTGATGAATCTGAATGACACCGAGAAGAGAGGGCGTTGTTTAGCGACATTTGACTCGTCAGCCATTTTACTCTCATTCTCATCCTGGTGTCAGTGTAGTTTAGTTCGCGTTTGCATCTTTTCTTTTTTTGCGAATTAATTAAAATGTAAAAATTTTATCATTATGAGACGAGGCTTCGTCGTAGTAAAAACAAGACAGTGAGTCCCCAAATTAATTGTATGAGTCTTTTCATTCGGAATCGATCTTATTATTATTTAAAATATAATAAAAATTAAAATGAGTCTTGTTAATCAGCCTTCTGCCACTTTCAAAAATTTCTCAATTGAAGTGAAAATTAATAAATAGTGTTATTGTTTAATTCTGTCTAATTTATAGTGTTTCTCCTCATCCCCCTCTCCGCGGTTTGATAGAATGTTTTTCCTAACAAAATTCTGAGCCAGCAGGCCTAACTTTAATTATTAATTATGTATATAATGGTTTAGTTATTTTCCCATAAAAATAACTTGGTGCCTTAGTAAATTATTAATTAAATGAGTAGATAACGTAAATTCAATTGAAGTGACAATAATAAAATCAATAATAAAATAATAATTACCCAGATAACAATAATGCGCGCATTTAAGATCGCACTTAGTGATTCTCCTATGGTGCATGCAAAACCAGTATGCTGATGCGACGCATGCGCTTACAGTCGCATTCTTGCTAGCAAGAAGTTCTCTTTATGCCTTCACGTATGCGATCTCCTACAATGCATTTGAAATGCGCCTTCAATGAATTCACACAGTATGCAAATTAGAATAAAAATTATTTAATTTAAATAGCTTAAAACATGCGTAATATTATGTTAAGATAAAAATTCTCTCTTGAAAACATAATTAATAAAAGTTAATAAGAAAGTAATTATTACTCTCTAAATCTGAATTAGTGAAATACTACTAACAAATAGTAAAATTTGACTAATATTAGTGGAAGACTTTTCCCCTTTTTATTAGATAAATATAACTAATTTTTAGTAAATGTTCACTAATTTTTTAGTATTATTTCACTAATTACTAGTCATCTAACTGACTAAATGAATTAGTCAAACTGTTTTATTGACAGTTAATAAGGCGGAATGACTAATTCTTTAGTCAAATTCTACTAACAATTAGTAAAATTTCACTAAATGTTAGTTAAATTGTTACTAAATCAGTTAGTCTTTTCATTAGTAAAAAACTACTAATTTAGATTTAGAGAATAAATTAAAGTTAATAATAAAGTTTATTGATCAGATTTATATGGAAATGGACTTTTAAAAATATGAGAATTTTATAACAAACTTATGAATTTATATATTTTTATTAAAATTCCTGTGACGAAAGTCCGTGAAAAATTTTGTATTCTTTGAATATATAAAATTCCAGTAGCAATCGTTTTGAGTGGTATCAGAAATCAATTTCGGCCTATGTCGATTTCATCAATTAAGTAATTGATATCTCCTTTCCAATTAGATATTTTTAATTCATCGAATAGATTAAAATTCCCGCGTCTGATTCACGTTCCCGCATGTAGGTGGCGCGTAATGCACTTGAGTCAGCTGACAGCCGGAAAATGTCTATGTCAACTAATTCATAAGATAAGAAACGGTAAGAATAATATCATATTTTTATATAAATCGTGCGTATTTATAATTTAATGTGTTTATATCTTTGCGTTGTGATCTATAGAGGTAAGTTCGATTAATCAACATTTATTGATAAGATTAGTGATCCAACCGTGGCCTCGATATCAGTGGTGGTAATGTGCATGTATAATTTTAGGTTATTTTTTGAGTTTGGCTTAGAAGAAGAAAAATATAAATATGTCTCTTCACTTTAATAAAAAACTAGAGTAGTAAAAAATGTTAACAGAAATATAATATTTATTGTATTATATAACAAGTATTAAATGATCAATTGATGTTTCTAACCTCAAATGTACTAGCACAAGGATCGCATTTAACTCGTTTGAATGCGAACTCATGTAAGAGACGCATAGGATCGTATATGGATGACGCATCAGCATGCAACTATGAGATCACTGAGTGCGAATTAATTAGCACGTATGCGACTCCTTATGTTTGCACTATTCAAGCATTTTGTTATCTGGGTACGTTATAATATATATAGAACTTTAACCTAATTTTAAGGTTATATTTTAACTTCAAAACCGAAATGCTAACAAACTTAAAAACATAACCTTAAAATTAGGTGATTAGAAAATGCCAAGAAACAAACATAACCTCATAATTTAAGTTCAAATGTTAAGGAAATAGATTAAGAAGACGCTAGGTTTGAATTTCAAATCTAATAATATAACCTCAAAATCAGATCAATTTCTAGGCTTTGAAGTTAAAACATAACCTTAAAAGTAGGTCAATGATCAGGAACAAAATACCAACAAACCTGAAAACATAACCTCAAAGTTAGATCAATTTCTAGGTCAAGAGGTAGCTGGGTCTGTGGTTAAAATCAGGGTCAAAATATATACTAACAAATACCTAAACAGCAGCGGCGTCGAGATCTTTGTATAATATAGGAAAATATATAATTATCTATATATTATTGTTTAATATAGCATATAATATTTATAAATTTTTTACTTTGTGCAGTTTTTGTTTCTTTTTTTTACATACAAGATTTATCGGCGATTGTATAAAGATGAAAAAGGTCTTTGTTTAATGTTAGATAAAAGCCTATAGTGTCACAAAAGTAAAGCACTATCAATCGTAAAGCATACACCAACCGCAGATTAACCGCCAGGTTGAATCTTCGGCGTTCAATAAAATTAGCTAAGGTCGATTAAGTCTCTAGTCGTCGCTGTCTTAAAAAAGGATCTCTTGTATCACGCTTCGATTCGCCCGACTCGTCCAATAAAAAAAAAAGACAGTCAAAGGAAAAAGTAAGCTAGGAACCATAAGGCTATAAATCATATTTATTTATTTTAAGCTTCAGAAAAATTTATATATTAATTTCTAACATGTAACAGATTTTTTTGTACAATAAGATATATATTATATAATTTATGATACTGCAAATTTTATTAAAAAGTATAAAAATTATACACAAACATCTCTGGAAATTATTTATAACATTTGCTATCACATTAAAGATTACAGTAATATATTATGTGATGTAATGTTTTATATTTGCAACTGTGTGGAAATTATTGTATGTATTGTATTTTATTCCCTACTGGAAAATCATACATAGGTCCCTACAAGGATTTCATATAAATTCTTACAAGAGGAAATCCTATAGGGAATTTCCTATAGGATTCATTATATAAATTCATTATAAAATTTTTTTAAGTTTTATTTTTTGTGACATTCTTTATAGGATCCTATGTAGGAAATTATTTGAATTCTTATAGGTCTACTATAGGAAAATATAATGAATCCTATAGGAATGCTCATATAGGATTTTCCCTTGTGGGAACCCACATAGGTTCCTATAAAGAATCCTATATAAGAATTTATATGAAATCCTTTTAGGATTCCTTGTAGGGATCTATGTAGGATTTTCATGTATTTATTGTATGTATTTATTGTAGGCAAGTATTGAGTATATGTACGTGTGAATTTATTGCATGTATGAATTGTGTGTATTGAAAGTATTTATTGTATGTTTGTATTGTGGGTATTTATTGTAGGTAAGTATTGCATGTTTTGCCTGTATTTATGGTATGTATGTGTTATATGTATTTTACGTATTGTATAATATGTATTATATGCATTTATTGTAGGCAAGTATTGAATATATGTACTGTATCTATTTGTATGGATTTATTGTATTTATTGATTGTAGGTAAGTATTGTATGTATGAATTGTGTGTATTGAGAGTATTTATTGTATGTATGTATTGTGGGTATTTATTCTATGTATTTATTGTAGATTGTAGCATGTATTGTATGTATTTATTGTATGTAATTATTGCATGTTTTGCATGTATGTATTATATCATATATATGTATAAAATGTATTGCTTGATTTGCATGTTTGTATTGTACGTATGTATTATATTTATTTATTGTATATATTCTATGTATTTAATGTTTTTATGTATGCATCCAGAACATTCATGTTCTGTATGTGTGTATTGCATGTATGTATATTATGTATTGTATGTGAAACAAAAACTTAATGAATGATACATTTTGAAAAAATACGTAAGTTATTTAAAAAAAAAATTTCCAGCTATAAAAGTATAGTAATATATTTAAATTATTATTAATAATTAATTACCCTGCATCTAAAAAAAATCAATAGGAGCCAATTAAAATCAATTAAACTATTTCAGAATCATAATTGTATAGTATTAAATTAATTGAATTTAATTATGTTCCTAAAATAGTTTTAATAATTTTTAATATATGATTTTCTATGTTTTTATTGGGTTCTATCGATTTATTTTTATTGGGGTAATTAAATAAACTCTTCTTCATAAAATTCACAGAGAAAAAAATTTTTATCTATGAATTCTCCTCACGTATTATAATACATATATAGATAAAAACTTGTACAGCACATATAGTATAATATTTTTACAAATATAAGTTCAAATAATAATTTTATCATATTATAATATAAGTTTAGAAAACTTAATTTAATGATAATGATCATTGCCACCATGATTATGAACTTCTGCGAAGAATCCACCGTGTGGATCTGAATAATATTTGACACTTCTTATATTGCCTCCAGGCTCATGAATATGATACTCTCCTTCCACATTCTTGCCTGCAACCAAATTCATGTGCATATCATAAAATTTTTTTTTTAAATATATATTTATTCAGTAGTGCTAAAAGCATTTACTTTTTTTTCTGATTTCCATGATAAAATAAAAAATAAAATAAAAATAAAATTCACTTTATAATATCATGTGCATGTTTTTAAATATTTAAAATACATACAATAAAGTAAAAACGTTAATTTTTAAATTTATAAAACAATTCGTTATAAATTCTCTTTCAAGTGACTAAAGTTAATTGAACTATTTCATTACAATAATCGATATATATTTTACTTGTTTATTTATTTGACTCAAAATATATGTATATTGAAAGCTGAAAAGTGTTTTTCTATACTGTCTGAAAGCTATTATCATGTTTCACTAAACTGATTTTAATAGCGGAAAATTTTTTAATTGAATTGGAAAATGTTTTAATAAATAAAAAGTTATATATATATGCTACAAATACACTTGCTGTAAATTATATTTATAAAATAAACTTAAAATTGTGTTTTTTTCGATTTAAGAGAAGAATATTGTATAATTGTTGTAAAAACAATTGCTTTAATTTGAATTAGCAAATGTTTTTAAAAGAGGTAATGATGAATTATAATTCACAAAAAATACACAATGTTCAATTTATTTTTATATATAATACCATCACGATGTTCTTTCTGTCCATGAAAATCTTTATTATGATGGTCACGAATGCCATATGAATATTTGTAATGTGGATGGGCCTTATAATCGTGATAATGTCCATGTTTGTCCTTCCATTCAACCACTTGATGATGACCAACTACTGGCCCAGTTTGATGATGAAATGAATGAGCTTCTTTTAAATTGAAATAATTTTCTATCATTAATAATATAGAGGGAACGATTTTAATGTTCTTTCATATTAATCTGTTAATTTTTTAATTAACAACTATTTCGAAATATCATATTACTATTATTTATTTAAATATATTACATATGAAAACATTTGATAAATATTGAATTATGTTATCGATTATAAAATTATTTATTTACCATACATTGGGTTTCCGTAAGCATTAGTAACCATGAGAAAAATACCGCACAGCAAACCCTAAACAATTTTAAAAATATTATCCTTCTGGATTAGAATATTTCTCAAACGGATCATCTAAAATTTTCAAAAAGTAATTAAATTTCAATGTTGAAAACTTTTTTTTACTCCTACTCAGAAATACAGTAGAAATAAAAAATTAGTCATAACATTGAAAATTAAATTTATTAATTTTATGTGATTCGTTTGAGAAATTCTGACACTTCTAAAAAAAAAATAAAATATTTAAATTGTGCACCAGTAACACGAAGGAATAATATAGTTGTATTTGAATAATTTTCCAAACTTTAAGAATCTCTTTTATTTGTTTAATCTTTTTTTTTCTGTAAGTTTAAATAGCACGTGGATAAAAGATAAATACTGTTTGAAAGTTGTTTATCGTAAAGAACTGCCTGGGAATATGAGTGTTATATGACTAAACTAGTTTGTTCTTCATGGACATGCATCCCTACAGTATTTTCTGTTCAAAAGCTTTGAAAAGTAGATTTAAACCGTATGAAAATTTATATTTTATTTTTGCAAATATAAGCAGTGGTACATGGCAAAAACATAAGTTTTTATTGCAGTCATGAAAGGGGTGCAAGTGTCATGTATATATATATATATATAAGAAGAAGCGCATTCATATTTTATAGCCTCAACGCATTATACTTTGTCTTGTACTGGCTATCTTTTCTCTATATATCTTTTTACAAGAGACCATTTACCTTTTTATATCCAAGAGAAATGTATTAAACTTTTTTTTTAACAAAAATAATAATAAAATATAAATTAAAAGCCCTACGGTGCAATTTTAAATCTAGAGAAAAATATTTGAATACTTTAAATATTATCTAAATAAAAAACCAATTTACCTGATAAACTACCATGTTTCTAGGCAGAAAATCACAAAAAGACTGCCCTCTATTTTGCATAGACTAGAATTTATATCAAACTTTGTTCTGAAATTGAAAACTATAAATACATTTTACGTTGATTGCTTAATTGTTCGTTTATTTAAATTATTTTCTTTGACTTCGAAACAACTAAATTATTAAGCAGGAAATTTGAAAATATTTTATTGCTATTTGTACATATTTCCATTGTAAAACTCACTGAAAATATGAAAAAAAAGTATTAATCTTCACTAAAAATTGAAGGAAAAAATTTTTAATGAATGACAATTGAGAAGGTAAATAAGTTATGTAATATTTTCTATTCTGTAGTAATAAAAAAAAAGAATAAGAATAAAAAGTGAAATATAGTAATAACTCTTGGAAAATTTATTTGAAAAAAAAGATTAATTTTGCTAAAGGAAAAAACAAATTACTTGTCATCTTCACGAAATTATTTGTAACAATAACAAGCATATTAGGAGAAAGCCAGTCAGACAAAAGAAGTCATCCAGAGCAATATCTTTTAGTTCATTATGACAAACGGATAGAGATAAACAGTAAAGTTCTACTAACTACTGGTTATTAGGATACTATAACAGTATAGGTAGCAGTTCAATAAAAGAAAATAGGTCTTCTTTAACGAGTTCGTTATAAAAGAACTTGACTGAAATTGATGATCTTTTCTAAATATATATCAAATAACTATTTTTTTATATCTTTTTCTCTTGGATTTTTTTTTCTGAATAAAAGTTCTAATAAAAATTTATTAATCAAAGAATTAGCATTTCTTGTGTTCTTATTAAAAAAAAAAAAGATGAAAAGTAAATAAATCAGAATTCTATGTAGACAGTGACATAATCATGGTTGCGTATCTGTAACGTTTTTCGAACATTTTCTTGTCTACAATTTAAAGAGAAAGTTGAAATTTAGCATGCATAATAGGACCTCAATTAATTGTTTTTATAAAATACTTATATTATTTTCTTTTTCAAGAATATTTTGAGAATACTAATAAAAAATGTCAACTTTTGTCTATGTATAGATCATTTAAGTAACTTTCTCTCTTTGAAATTTAAATTTCATACTTATTGCAAAAATTAAATATTTTGAAATACAATGTTTTATTAAACTGAAGCAAATTTTTTCAGCAAATATTCGTTAGCATCTGTAGCTAATTCATTCTTTTACGCGTAAACTAACAATTTATATTTTATAAACTATAGTTCATTGACTGTTATTATTTATAATTTATGTTTAAAATCTGTTAAATTTATAAATTATATTGCAAAAAAAAAAATTTTTTATGTGACATGCAAATCTATTTTTGAAGTGAGAATAATGACAAATAGTCAAGAGAAAGAGACAGAAAGGTGTAGAGGTTTATGTGAGGCACTGACTATAAAAAAAGTTTTTTTTTTTATGGAACATGACTGTAAACGACTTAACGTCAGAAAGCTTAAATTTAAGTGTTTTTCTTGAAAAGGAACTCTCTCAATCATTGCTTGCACAGAAACGAATGGCCAAGAACTATAAGATATAAAAATATCGAATTCAATTCAACTTCAATTCTTGTTTTATAGTTTCAATGGCATTTCCATTACCACGAAAATTTATTTCAACCTGTTGTCGTTCTTCTTCATCAGTTTTCTTCTCGCGGCATTTTTCTCTGTTGTAAAATTTATGGATTTACACTTATGGAATAATAATGTAGTTTTTTTTAAAGTTCTTTCATCAACAACCACTAAAATTCAAATGGTTTTTTGAAAGAAGATCATTTTTCAAAATTCCGTTAGAAAATGGAAAGACGATTTTTTTACTGGTTTATAGACAAGAGGGGAATTTTGTTATAAAAAAGAATCGATTTGAAAATGAAAGTTTAATTTTTTCAATCTATTTCAAATTTTGATGTTCTCAAACTTTAATCCTGTATATAGAACAAAACATTAATTGCCCAAAAAAAAAGCCTGAACGGATGCTTTATGGCTAGATTTTCCGCTACAAGATTTATAGTCGAGGCAAGTATCGAGTTCAGTGTATAAATATATTTGAAACATAAATATTGATGTCATCTAAAAAATTCACTACATCAGTAACAAAAAGAACATAATATGTACATACATCAAGCTAAAAATAAAATACAATTAAAATTAGAATAAACTTTACAAAAAATGGCATTACTATCCAGATAATTGAAAAAATCTGTGTCAAAAAATGAATCTCATTTCGTTTAACACACCGTACTTTATTAGGTCCACAATTTTAATTCTTTCAGGAACTTTATTCTTAAAATAGTGAATGTATTGATTATAGCGATATTGACTCTCTCGCTTGATGGTAGGGTTTCAGCGTTAATGTTAGTTGAAGTTTTCAAGATCGATTTTGAAATCATTTCACCAATTGATGATCGTCGACAACAGTGTCCAGTATACAATTTTGGCTGAGGCAACTTTAAAAATTTAGCGATCGTTTGTGGCATACCAGCAAATTTGTTAAGACCTATGAACTGCTTCCTGCATTTTCTTTTTTGACAATTGAAAAAAAATTGCTTCATTGTATATCTTTTGGTCGACTAGAAACATATTTTTTTACTGTGTTATTGAAAGTTCTTCAATAACAAAATTCTGCTTAACACTTTGAAATGGTATTTCAATAGTCAAAAATTTTATTATAAAATAATCATAAATTATCTAAAAATTATAAATTAATAAATATTAAAAATAAAATTACATAAAGAAATGAAATTAAAACTAGATAAATTGAATTTCTGAAAATAATAGAAAGAGAGAGAAGATATCTATAGATAACACAATGAAAATATAAACAGAAAAAATAATAGAAAGAGAAGGTAGATATAAATACCAATTAAGAGAATTATTAATTTAATTTAAATTTAAAGATTTTTTTTTATAAATAAAGAATTTTTATAGATTATTATTTAAAGAATAAATTTATTTTACATTTTTTCTTTAAAATATTTAGAAAATAAAATAATAAAAATTATTTTAAAGATTGCTGAAATTAATAATAATTAAATACAATTATATGTTATATTAAAGTAAAAATTATTTAAAAATTAATGGTAAAAGTTAAATAATTTAAAAATTATTATTTTTTGAGAAATTAAAGATTTAAAATTTAAAAATCAGTTAGAGGAAAGTGATTGACAGGTAGACAATGGCATTGTTCTTGGCGAGCGTTAGAAACGGACTCAGAGAGAGAAAAATATCTCTGTCCTTAGAAAATAATTTAAATGTAATTGGCTATCCGAAAATAGACGCCGCGAATAATCCAAATAGAGGGAGAAATTGGTGGTAAGAAATACATGGGAGAAGCGCCCTGCGTAAAGTGGTGAGGGAAACTCGCGGATTTTCGCTTAATCAATTTAAAATTCCTTACTCACACACTCGCACATTTTGAATTTTACTTACCCCAGAAAATTAAGGGTAGGGACGCAACTATATAAGCCAAGTAAATGCACGTTTCTGTCTCTTTAATCTAAACAGTTTTAAACTGATTTTCATAAACCATAAACCTATATTTCGATTTAATAGACAAGCGAAATAATCACACAGTGAAGGTGTGTTTGTATTTATTTTATTTATTCATAATTACTAAATTAAACTAAAAGTAAATTTTATTCTATTCAGAACTGAGAGATAATAAGGAAGGACTGACAATCGTTTTTATAAACAAAGAAACCTATATTGTCAGATTGATTGTTTATTTTCATTACTTAAATAAAAATAACTAATTCTTTTATTTATTATCATTATTTTCTTTAGCATCAAATTCGTTGAAACGATAAACAGTCAATTTTTTAAACAAGTAAAAGAATTTTGAAAAGTTAATAACAAAAGCTAAAAAACTAAATAATTATTGGAGAGATTCCTCTAATTTAGTTTGAAAAGCGACAAATAATTTAAAAATAAAAGAGAAGAATATAAATATATATAAGTATAATATAGAATTTGGAAAAGCAAAAAAAAAAGATAAATACTAACGTATTTTTATTCATAAATTTTACTACATGTTTACAATCTTATCTGATGATATAGTTAGCACGTGTTTCATTATATTGAATATTAGAAATTAAGGATATAATGTCCCTTTAAATTTTAACACTACTATTGTTTCTTTAGTATTAGAGATAATAGAATGTGGGTGATACTTCCCTAAACATTTGTGTTTATAGTTTATCAGCCACATGTTTGAACTCATTTGCTTCTCAGAATCGATGTGTCACGTAAATTTAATTAAATAAGAATAATAAATTATATAATATATTAATAATCCCCGGACTGAGAACTTATGAATGCTTCAACTTGTTTTGGTTATTGGTAGTGTAACTGAATGCAATGATCCACGATCAATAATATCATTTATTGATAATAATTTATGCAATTCATCTTTTCTGCAAGCTCCAAGAACGCCAATTATTAAAGCCACCTGTGGATTTAATTATTAATATAACTTTACTATGTACTTTTTACATATTATTATAAAATAAATTTATTTTATTATTTTTTTGCAAAGCATACAAAATTTAAATGCTTCTAAGAAAAAGAAAGAACTGAAAAATTCAGTAAATTTGCAAAATTCTTGGTTAAAGGATTCGCGATTTACAGATTGGCTGCAACCGAATAAAAGTAACGCGAAAAAAGCATATTGCGCTGTTTGTAATGTTAATTTAGTAGCAAGAAAATTAAATATTATAAATCATGGCTCTCGTGCGAAACATATCGCGAAACGTTATAAATAATATTAATTGTCAATTATAAATAATAATAATGTAAAAATGAAGATAAGAATCGTTTTCAGTAACGTTATAAATGTTATTTTATTTTTTTACCTAAAATTCTCTTTGATTTTCACAAAGTGTCTAATCATAAGTATAATGTCTAACCCTGACGAGATTTTTTTTTTAATGATCAGAACTTTTTTAATTTTAGACCAATCAATTTACGATCTCCAGAAAAAGTGTTCCTCTTTTGTACATCTTTCTAAAAATATAATTCAATTGACTAAATTAATTTTTTTAAAAAAGATTATAAACAAAGCCCAAAACGGTGTCTAACCCTGAGTATAATATTCCGCTACAAATATTTTGCATTGATATCATTTACCCTGACATTTAATTTGCGTTCATTTGATCGCATAAACAAATATGAAATTGAATCTATTCTATTTGAATAATTTTCACTCCTGCAATAGTCATATATATATATTAATGTATCAAATATATCATGCGAATCAGCATTTCCATATTCACCTTGTGCGGAAATTTTGTCTGAAAAGCTTCTTAAATATCAAAATAGAGAAATATATATCCTTTACCACAAATTGAAGAAACTGGAAATAGACTCTTGGAGAAACGCAGCGTCAGTTCGTTTTGTATGCATGGAATTTCATTGCACTCATTAAGAGTGGGTATGCAAAATTATGTTAGTAGCTTCTACGTGATCTAAATGCAGCATCAAGAATAAGCTCAATAATCTGTATATATATATATATATATAGTTCCAGTTCTTGAAAATCAACTTGGAATTGATTTAATTAAATAAACATTGTTTTCGATTATAAATATTGGAAATATCAAAATTTATTAAATTTACATTCCCCTCCTTTGGCACGACTTTTAAACAAATTTACATACATATATTTTATTGGTAGGAAATATAAATTTAGCTTAAATTATTTCCTTATGTTAGTACATATAAACGATATTTATGAATCACTAATAATTAGTTTTACATAGACTATGTAAAAAGCACCTTATGTTTAAACTATCCTCTTTTATATTTATATACATAGAGGCCGGTTTTATTTTTTTTTATTGTTAATATAAATAACGAAATTATAAAAATCTGAAAAATACTTATATGTACATTTGTAATTCAATCTTTTGTTTCTACTCCTTTTTTGTTGGAAAATATTTTAATTTTTTGATTATAAATATTTTTTTTTTTTGTGTTATTTTTGATAATGTGTACTGAAATTTTGATTCAATTTTGAAAATATTTCATCTTCATCGGCAAAAAATGCGAGGCTTCAAATCCATATCGTAGAAAACTTTAGGATTTTGTGATATAAGCGCTGAACTCAAGGAATTTGTCACCGAATAAGCCGTCAATGGTGCGGTCCATACAGCCTCAGCTAGTGAAGTACTTGATGTGTTTCCTGATCTAAAAAACAAAATGTACAATAATTGACTGATATTATTCTATATTACCTGCAAAAAAATACAAACAAAACATTTCACTTGTGCTTTTTTGCCTATTAGAAAAATATTTAATATATTTTCTTTTTTACGAAAAGTTTATCAGCCCATACTAGAAGATTTGCCGAAAAACTAATATAGAAAGAAAACGTTTCTTTTTTCGTAGTTTATATGCTAATCAAAAAATACAATCTTACGTTTTAAGAACGGGCGTCGCATATAAAGCAAGGGGATTCACAGGAGGTGGCTTTAGAAGCACAACGTCGATCCCAGAAGAAGTAAGTTCGGTCCTTAAAGCTTCTGCAGCTCCTTCAACAGCTTTTCTAGAGGCACTGAAAGCTACCAATCCAGTTCCATGACTTGAACCCGAATCACCCAGAAGGATAATGCGACCTGAAAAAAAAACAAAAATTGTTTATTCAAATAAAAAAAACAAAAGAATGCATTTTTCTTCACACATTTTTTATACGCTCATTATAATACAATTTTTTTACAAAGCTATATACATAATATATATTTATTTAGTGACAAATTTTTCTGAAATACAGTTAAAGAAAAAGTTAAACGCATGAGAAATTTAATTCAACTTGTATATTATAATAATTTTAAACTCAGTTTTTGCAAAAGAGAAAAAAAATTCTCTTTCACGTAATAAAAAGGAGTAATTTCAGTACCTCTCTTTGCGCGTAACAATGGTATGAATACTCGGGCTGTTCGTAGGGGAGCCACTAGATTGTGTCTTAACATGGACTCCCAAGCACAACTTTCCTGTTTTTCTATAATGCCAGGCAGTGCTAATCCTCCTGTATGTACGACAGCCCAGAGACCTAAAAAGTGAAAATAAATTATGCACAAAAAAAATTATGTATGTAATATATTATATATTTTTATGGAAAATTTAATAATTTAGATAAATGATAGACAAACTTTAGTAATACGTTATTAAAAATATTAAAACACACGAATAATATCTAAAATTAATTTGTTGGAATTTCATGATATATAGAATTTTCTTTTAGTCGAATTATTTATTGATAGAATTTCCATTAAACCGATTTTCTATACTTTACAAAATTTTTATACAAACGAAAATTCACTTTCATGAATTTTCAAAATCAGAACGTTCATTCGAACAAATAAAAGTTCTGTCTAATAAAAATTTTATCAAATAAAACTGCTGTCTGCAAAAAGTATGGTGGTTCAAAAAGAATATGAAAATTTTTATATTCATTTTAAACTTAATTTTAATTTTGTAACGAATTTAATGACAGCCTCACGAAACTGTTTACATTTATTATTTACAGAACTTAAAACTAATATAACATAAGAAAACAGGATCAGAAAAATATTTGGTATTTAAGAAATACAGAACGATAAAAATCTAAATACAAAATAAACGGATAAAAAAGAATGCAAATTACAATTTAATTAATTGTAATATGGAACTAGAAACATAAACGGTGATAATCGATCGGAAAAACGATATGGTCTTCTTACGCTGAAAACGAGTAACACTCGATGTTTAGACGCCAAAAGGACCGTTATAAGACGATATGGTCTTTTACGCTAAATAAAAGTAATACTCGACATTTAGACACCAAAAGAATCATTTGACTGTTTAGAACAAGAATTTTACGTTATATACATTGGTATTGAGTAACGCTCTCATTAAGGTAGAAAAAACGCTTCCGAAGTTATCTAAAAAGGAAAAAAACCCTTTAGCGACTTTGTGAGCACTAGAGTGCAGTTTTTCTTCTAAGCATCCGTTATTTATACCCTCTACGCGTGAACAACGACCTGGAGGGGGAAACTTTCGCAGTCTGCGCAGAGCTACATTCGTTTTGAGTAGGCGACGCGCATCCCAGTATTTAAGGAATCGCCTTTCTCCACCGTCCGTGCGTTTGTCTGGGTTTTGATTTTCGTTTTGATCATGCGCAGTTTCAAAATAGGGATTTATTGTATCTAAATTAATTCATATATATTACAATTTAAATGCTTTAATTAAATCTTTATTAATAATTAAAAATCATAATTATTTATAATTTAACAATATTTATAATTTATTTAACTAAAACATAACAAACAGAAGTTAACAAAATCTGATAAGAAATATATTTTATCTAATTCAATAATTAATCAAAATCTATGAGTAAAAACAGAAAAAAAATTAAATTCTTGAAAAAAAAAAATTAATTCCTGAAAATCAAGGAGAACAAACGACCGTAATAGAAATGTATAATAAAACGAAAAATATGATACATCTGAGAATAGTCATATAATGTTTATATTCCAGTGACACTATAATGGCTCATACAACCTTAAGGATCCTAATATAAGATGCGAAGGGAATGTTAAAATTAATTAGCCATGCTTCTTTGACATATTAATCCGGTTCCTGTTTTAGGGTCCTAACCCAGCTTTCCTGAAAGTTAGAATTGCTATCATAGTTCAAGAAGTTTCTATCTGTGAATAAAGTCATCTGAACTAATAATATTAGTTTAGTTGGTAATCCTGCATACACAGTGAATTTCTGAAATCTTACTTAATAATTTATGGGCTTTGCCTTTCGCGTGATTTACGCTTTTCGAAAACATAATCGTCGTCGAGTATCAATTATACATACACATATATAACAATAGAAATATTTTTTAGATAAATAAAAATTATTCTATATATATTTATTTTTCATTTTGTTTGTATTTATGTCATTTCATTGATAAAGACTGATTTGAAATTCAAATGAAAAAACAAAGTTATTGTAAAATTCCCAATTTTTTTCAATAAACAATTAAGAGCATTTGAACCTTCGTGACGTCACCAATCATGGCGCATGACACGCAAACTTCTCAGGTATGTGAAAAGCACAATTTTGAATATTTTTTAAAAAAACCTTTTGGAAAATGTTCAGAATAACATAGACTCTGTCTGTTATGTGCGGAAAATTCAAAATTGTGCGTTTAAAACGTTTTTTAAACAATGTTAAGGTCACAAATCATGGCGCATGACACGCAAACTTCTCAGGTATGTGAAAAACACAATTTTGAATATTTTTTAAAAAAACCTTTTGGAAAATGTTCAGAATAACACAGACTCTGTCTGTTATGTGCGAAAAATTCAAAATTTTGCGTTTAAAACGTTTTTTAAACAATGCCTACATATAAGCAATTCGTGTATTTTTCCTTACTTGTGACAACCAACTTAAACATTGTTTAAAAAACGTTTTATACGCAAAATTTTGAATTTTTCGCACATAACAGACATAGTCTATGTTTCTCTGAACATTTTCCAAAAAGTTTTTTTAAAAAATATTCAAAATTGTGTTTTTCACATACCTGAGAAGTTTGCGTGTCATGCGCCATGATTTGTGACCTTAACATTGTTTAAAAAACGTTTTAAACGCAAAATTTTGAATTTTCCGCACATAACAGACAGAGTCTATGTTATTCTGAACATTTTCCAAAAGGTTTTTTTAAAAAATATTCAAAATTGTGCTTTTCACATACCTGAGAAGTTTGCGTGTCATGCGCCATGATTTGTGACGTCACGAAGGTTCAAATGCTCTTAACGAAAAATAAATAATCTATTTTGTTATTGTTGCAACGATAAAATTTTATTTCAGATTTGGTAAATTCATTTATCAGTGTTATAATCCATTTATCATTGTTGATCCTTGAATCAACAATCAACGTGTGTGGATGTATAATAATAATCTCTAGGAGAATATATTTTGAAAATTTATGAATTCAGTAATTTAATAATTTAAAAATATTTTACTTATGAAACAAAATTTTTATGTAACATATAACACAAGATTTTTACCGTCTTCTCCAGCTGGCAGTTTCGATCTAACTGCGTCCAAACAGGCGCGTAAACTGTCCTCTCGTGTCGGATCCAGTTCCAGTGGAACGATTTGTCCCGGAGCACGTACATCTAATCCCACGGCACCCTCCAAGCGTGAAGGGTCTTGATCTTTTTCTCTCTGCGACTGCACAGCTCTCAAGATTTTTATTGCGTGAGAATTTCCTTCCGGTTGCAGTAAACCAGCAAAGACCTGTCAAAAAAATTAAAAAAAACCTTATTTAAAAAAAAAATCTTTTTCAACACTGCATTATAAGATTTTTCATTTTTTCAAAATAATATGCAATTTAGTGGTCGAGTTTTAGAAAAATTGTCTAACACTGCCAATAATAAAACAAGATTTATCATTGTGCTTTTAACGATTGAAAATAAAGAAATGTTTCTATTTCGCCAGTGTGCTAAGTAGTTACCTGCTCGTCGGGTTCACATAATACCTTTGGAATTCAAATTCGAACTTTTCTAATTCACTAAAAGATATCATTAGAAGGTCAACTATATGGTCCTGGAATAACAGACTAATGGTAAAAAATTATTAGTACTTACATTTATTTTTTCATGCATTAAACACATTTCAAAACTTTAAACGCGTTTTTTTCGAAACACGATCTCTCAAATCTGCACGCAGTATAACTTAATCAATTTTCATTTATTTCAAAACAAATTTTTATCATATCTTTAAAACAACATTCCTCACAGAAATACGTGGCAGATTTTCGAAATGATAAAATTTCTATTTTTTAGGGACTAAAAAGTACAGATTCTTTGGACGAAAAATCGACTTGTAATTTCAAGAGCTCGCCAATTTAACAAAAATGAATATTCTTAAAATCAGCTACGTATTTCTGTAGCTATTCTAATTTAAATTAAGAAAAAAAATTTTATTTTGTTCCAGATTAACTTTTGCAAACTTTGTACTGCGTGCAGTGGAGCCCCACCAATAAAAACCATCTTCAAAGAACGGCCGTAACTCCGCCATTTTGTAACTTTTTTAAATAAAAAAAATATGTTTACAAATACAAAAATATGCCTAACAATATCCTCCAATTTAATTATTATCTTTCTATTTCTCCTACTACGAAAAAAATAGCAAAAAAACGTTAAATTTTAGCTTCCTACTGTGGTGTAACCCCTTAAGAGAACTGTTTCGTAATAAGTTGTCAGAAAATAAAAAGCATTCTGGGTCTTACTACAGAAAAAACGAGAGAAAAAAAAAATGCAGAGTTGCAAAAGCAAGCTTCTGCTTTCTAAAATTTTGTTCAAGTTGGTTCTATCCAGATTATAGTGATTCATTATTTAATATTACAAATTAAGAATCGCTTGAATCATCAGAGGTACAACGATTTTTGTACAGACCGCGGTTGGTACAAGGCATTTTGTACAAAGCTGAAATTCCCGGGCTTGATATAGATATTTATGTACTGAGCGAGCTTGGTATAACGCGTTTTGTACAATGTTGTCAAAAATAAAGATAAGAATAAAATAAGAGACAAACAATAATTTACCAAATATAAGTGACAAATTTATTAATTGATAATAGTTCACTGATTTGAATTACAAATTTTATATTATACTATTTATTTGTACAACTCAATGAATTGTAGCATCTAGAATTGCATAAACATTCTTCTTTTTACATGCACATTGTTTTGTGTTACATTCTGTAAGATAGGAACACTTGATAAAACCTTGTCCTCCACTTATCAAAGCCTTATTATTTGTAGATCGTACAGAAATGATAACATTTGATACGTCCTCAATTTTTAAAAAAATTATTATTAGTTGGTGTTAACTGATTTCTGCTAAATAGTTAAGCAATAACTCCATCCGTCGTTTAAACTTGATAATGATTATCATGGATTACATTAATAATAACACCTATAAATAGCATATATATCAGTTTTAACATAATTTTCAAATCTATATTAAAAATAATAAATCAAAAAATTTATTTTTTATTTTTAATTTACTCAAGTAGAAATTTTCCATGGCCCATCCAAGTTTTGAAACCTTTCGTCTCAATTTTTCCCAACGATTACAATTTCAATAATTATTTATCCAGACATTATTCGCCACCATTATAATACGCCCTGGTCGTTTAGGAGTTAGAAAACATAACCGGAAGAATAAATAGTGCAATATACTAATCCAGGATTATCCGAACGACTCCCTATAGTGCTCTAGGTATGAAAACAACGGCATCTTCGGGAAAGTTTGAACAAAAAAAAAATATTAAATACTTCTTTAAGTGCAAATATGGGGTTTCCGTCATGCGGGCCACTTTCTAAAGTGCTTTAGGTTGAAAAGTAACTGCATCTACGGGTAAATACTCTTTAAAGGTAAATACTGAGCATCACTTGCCATCTTGATACGTTTTGATTGTTGTTCAAGTCCTTCAGCAGCCAATTGTTGGTTTTTGTTTATATTTTCATGTAATTTATTTAGCTCGACATTTGGTGCGCTTTCAGTATTGGATTCCAAATTTTCTTTATTATTAACTTCATTTTCGAAAAGATCATGATTATTTTATAAATCGACAATAATGTACGCTTTCGAGTTAGACTTCAATAGTACTAAATTAATTTTTAATTCAAAAATAAATTATATCCTCATTCTCTTTGTCATAATCGTCAATCAAGATTCAATAATAAACAGAAATTCTAACTTAAATGCCACAATTTATTGAGTTGTACAAATAAATAGTATAATATAAAATTTATAATAATTGTGACCTGGACAGTTAAAAGGGACCTCTCGTCCGAAATCAACTTTTCGAGAAAAACGACTTCAAAGTTAACAAGTCAAAAATGATGCTCCTGCCCATTGAAATGGCTTGAAACTTGTTACTCGGGGGTTTTTGGGGTCGCTGATTCCGAATCTGCCATCAGATTTTCAAAATTCAAAATGGCGGATCCAATATGGCGGACGAAAAATTAAAAATTACTTGGATTTGCCTGAAACTTGTTACTCGGGGATTTTTGGGGTTGCTGATTACGAATCTGCAATCAGATTTTCAAAATTCAAAATGGCGGATCCAATATGGCGGAAGAAAAATTAAAAATTAGTTGGATTTGCCTGAAACTTGTTACTCGGGGGTTTTTGGGGTCGCTGATTACGAATCTGCCATCAGATTGTTCTTTTAAGTGTCAATATCATTTTAAATATTGTTGTATTAAATTATTTATTTGATTACTTAAATGTTTTAGTATAGAAAACAAATAATAAAATTAGAAAAATTTGTTTGTCTAATTAATAAAAAGCGTACATTTATTGAAATTCTAATGCGCTACATTGATCCGCCATTAGGAATTTTCCAAATTGGATGTCTGATTCGTAATCAGCGACCCCCAAAACCCCCGAGTAACGAGTTTCAAGCTAATTTGATCAATTTTTAAATTTTCCATCCGCCATATTGGATCCGCCATTTTGAATTTTGAATAACTAACACCGGAATCGTAATAAGCGACTCCCAAAACCCCCGAGTAACGAGTTTCAAGCTAATTTGATCATTTTTTAAATTTTTCCATCCGCCATATTGGATCCACCATTTTGAAAAACTAACACCGGAATCGTAATCAGCGACCCTCAAAACCCCCGAGTAACGAGTTTCAAGCTAATTTGATCAATTTTTCTATACCTATTCTCTCCCGAAATTTTTAACAATTTTTTTAACCAATCGGGTCCATCTTTGAAGCGCATTTGCAAAAAAACTAATGAAGCTAGAGATGCGCGGTTTGTTGCATTGAAAAGAGCACCTCTTTTACTATAAGAAACAACCAAAAAGTGAAAATCGATTTTTTCGGACCAGAGGTCCCTTTTAACTGTCCAGGTCACATATTAAAAACAGTGAACTATTACCCAATGGGAAAAATACCATTGGCGTATTAATGGACCAATAATGGGAGCCAGGGATGCCAATATAATTTCAATAATGGCACCCAATAATGGACCATTATTGGTAAAGTCATGGGCTGTCCACGCCGATGTCAATGATTGGCAACCATCATTGGCAAATTATTGGCAACCAATAATTATTCAATATTAAAAATTTTAATAATAATTTAAAAAATCAATAATTTAAAAAAAATTTTATTTTTATTATTTTTTTTAAGTTATTATTATTATTTTATTTTTAATAATTAAATTAAAATAAAAAAATGGTTATCAAAGTATTAGTGAAACCATTTCTTCCAAAAAAGAGTTTGTCTCAAATCCAATAAATAGGAGAGACATCGGACAGAAAAAAATTTCGACAAGAAAAAAATTTTCGATCACTGCTGATATACCGCAATCTAATGGCACCTCAACTGCGAGGAACAGTTATGATGTTCGCCCTCCCTGTGGCGTTGAGCGAACTAAAGTCCAGAGCTGAGCCATCAGCCCAGCGCGGGAACATTTGAAAAATTTGATTTTATTAGATATTTTATTTTATTTTAAATATGACAAATAATTAACTTAATAGATAATTAATGTCATAAATAATTATTAAGAACATAATGTCATACTTAATAATTCGTTAATTCGTTTAATTACCAATGGTTACTCGTGGCAGTTTTCCATTGGGTATTCTCTATTTTAATCTTATCTTCATTTTTGACAACATTGTACAAAACGCTTTGAAGCCCAGGAATTTCAGCATTGTACAAAATAACTTGTAACAATCGCGGTCTATACAATTTCGGGCTTGGTACATAACATATATAACATTAAAATAAAAGAGGAGGTGATAGAAAATGTACCTCGATGTGTAAGTAGAGATCAAAATGAAATTACATAATCGCACCCCTGAACAAAATTTTTTATAAATCTTATCTTGTATTTTAACAGTTATATTATTATATTTATTTATAGTAAACATTAGTGTTAATTTTTTTATGAAAATAAAATATTATAGCTAACTATTTCGTTTGGTGTTAAAAATTGATGAATATAAAACAAAATACATATATATGCATTGAAAGATAAAACATAGTTTGATTTTTATTATACCTTGTAACCTGCTTCTGACAGTGAAAGAGCAATTTGCAACCCGATACAGGTGTCACAACTGGTCACTAGAACATGTCGTTTGCACCTCATCTCGAATTCTTCATCTGTGTTTCGCGATTGTCGCATCAAATAGGCCAATAGTGCCGCAACGATCGAGCAAATTGCTAGAATTTGCAGAGCCACAACGGCTCCAGTTTCGACATCCATTTTGACAAGTTGAAATTTTATCTGAAAATGCATAGAAAAAAAGAATGTTTTGAAATTTCCACTTGAATAGAGTTTTTAATGTATAAATTTAAAATATATTCAAATTTATATATAAATATAAAATAACATTTTCGATTAAAATATAATTATTTATATTTAATAGCAATAAAATCAAAATAAATCAATTGTTAAAATTATATTTTATATCTTGTTTTATAAATATTCTATCTACATAAAAAAAACATTTTTTTTAATTGTTATATTTTTAGTATTTTTTCTGGTAAGAAAAATAGAATTTACAACTTTTGCTGGAATAAAATTTTATTTTTCACTTAAAGTTACCATTTATACATGAACCGATATTCCAAAATGGAGAGAAATAACTTTATATAACATGGGTTATAAAGTTTTCCAGTGGAAAAAGTAGGTTTTAGTCAGACATACAAATTTGCCGATTTTCCCTAAATGTAGTCTCAGGTAATTGAACTTCTTCGTTTTCACATGCATATGAAACCATAGAATAAAATTTTCCATAAATAATGGAATCAATTTTTTCATATTCATAAAAAAAAAATAAAACAAAAAATTTGTTTTTATTAACTACCTATATATCATATAAACTATAACTTTATTATAAATTTCTCATAAAATTCTCAATATAGAACATTATTGATATTAAAAAAAAATATATTCCTTATTGATCGATCGTTATCTAAAGTTTTGTAAATAAAATGTTAAAAAAAAATTAAGACCATTCATTTGAGAAAGAATTGAAAAAAGACTATCATAGTGAGAACGAGAGAAATTTAGTTGAAAAAAGTTACAGTGAGCTCCTGCCAAACTACTTTCCGAATTGCTTGAAAGTTTGCGATTCGGATAAAGAATCTTTAAGGCAGTTGAAAAATAATCTATATCAATTTATTGAAGTAGATAGTCGATTGTTATTTTTGTGTCACTAAAAATTAAATTCTTAATTTTAATTTAGAATTAAAAATACAAATTTTTAAATATAAAAATTATTATAAAATTACTATTTAGAAAGTAAATGAGAATTTTTCATTTTTCTTCGATAAAATTATTGATTTTCCTTTGAAATTTATAATAAATTGAATTAAAAATAAATTACCTTCACATAAATTATTTATTGTTTCTTGCAAAAAAAAATTTTTCATTTAATGTTTTCTTTATTACTGACAAGTACGTTTTATTACTGGCATGTAATCACAGAAGCTCATATACAGGGAAAAGTTTTAGAAAAGTGTATACGTAATATTATTCAACAAAACGAGGATGCGAGCAAAATATTTCAGCATATATTATCATATGAATAAATATTTAATTTTTAATTGTTTTCTTTCAATTAACATATTTTTAAATATTAGTGTATATTTTAATTTCAAAAATAAAGATGGTTTTAAAATTGAAAATACAAAAAAAGGATAAGAGAAAAAGACACAAAAATATTAAAAAAAAAATTTCTTTAAATTAAATAAAAATTTTGTTTGTTAATTCCAATTAGTAGTGGCAAATAACTAAAAATTTAGAGAGTATAGATAAACGAAATAAAATTAAGCGATTAATTCAAAATAGGAACTTTCTTTTTTTCACACAATTTTTAAATAGGTAGATGAAAATTAGAATTTCTAGAAAAAGGAATTTTTTACATATTTTTACGAAAAATTCCCTCTGTATATGATAGACTTGTCTTTAAAAAAAAAATGTTCATTTGCATAAATCTGATCTTATCTAACTGGGTCTAGTTTGCATCTGAATATTTTAAAAGAAAAATCTCTACATAATATTTATACGTATTTTTTGTGTAAAACATTTTTTCTCCATTTTTTATTATTCAGAGATTAAATTTTATTAAAAAAAATTCTTTATAATATTTTTTTTTCTATAATTTTATTTGAAAGATATCGTCATTATATACGGAATATGACGTGAGAGATGAAAATATTTAATTGTCATGAAACGCAGAACAATGAGGCTTTGTTACACTTTTTAAACAGAAAATCGCATATGGACCCTCATTGACGCGCGAGTGCGATTATTGCATCTCTCTCTCTCTCTCTCTCTCTCTCTCTCTCTCTCTCTCTCTGCGTGTGTATATAGAAAGGTGCGGGAAGAATGCGTTCAAAAGTGAACGGCCCCGTATATATATTTATATTTTTTATTTTTTTCTTCGATGCCAAAGAAATCACTTGCCTTTCTAAAAAATCTTGGCTCACTAATGGTCGCCCCTGATTTCCTCAATTAGATACATTTTTTTTTCTCACTATATTATTATAATGTCAAAGACACACAAATTCTTATTTGAATTTAAATAAATATCAAATTCAATTAGAGAATATAATAAGTATTTTACCGAATTGTTTCTCATTATATATAGTAGATATAGAAAACTACAGTGATTGAAAGCAAAATCAGAGAAAGCCGCGCGAGTTCACAATATGAGGGAAAACTAAACTTTCGCAGGGTTAAATAATAATTGATCCCAAGAAAAAACTATTATTCTCTTTTAATTTCCTGTCTTCGTAATACATAATATTGATTTATAATAAGATAATATGATGATAATTAATCATTATATAATTATTAATTAAGAATTCAAGGAAATAATAAATAACAAATATCTCGATAAAAATTTCTAAACAATTATTATATTTATAAGAATAATGTATATTATAGTCACCTAAATTTCGGAAGGCGAAATAATTACCAAAAAGAAAGTAAATTTTTATTATCGACGGGGGAATTTTATTAACAAACATCAAAATAAAATCAAAACTTTAATTTTAAATCAAATTTCAGAGAAAAAAAAAAACAATTTTCAGTCATACCTAATATTTCGAAGTTGGAAAAAAAAACCGTCGAAAGTTAATATTGCGAGAAAAGGAGAAAAATTAACAAAAAATTCACCAGATTGCACATGCTTTACAAATCTGTTGACGATATACAACATTTCGCGGGAGATTAATTAAATTTATAGAGCAATATAAAAGTTTGCTAAAGTTCAGGAAACGTCAATAAATAATCGTTCTGGTATATATATATATATATATATACGCCTTTCATATATTATTTTCACCGAGGAAATCGAGAAAAGTTTGTTGCTTTCTCTCTTTTTTTTTGGGGCGTTTTTCTGATGAACGAAATAGTGGTTAGTATATATACACATATATAGGTATATATATATATATATATATATATATGTATATACGTATGTTGTCTGTAGAAAACTTTGGAGAATATCACATTGGCCAAAAATCCTCGAGTTTCCAGTGGCTCAGCAGGAGGCTATACTCAAGTGTACCCAGCAAACCTTTGAGTTCACTGTGTCGAAGAATTTCATCTTTTTCGAAAGAGAACGAGAAACGCGCTGCCGACGACAGCAAGAGGTACAAATCTCGATAATGGGCTCCATTTTCCACAAGAATAATTTCCAGACTTCTTGGATATATACATTTCAATTTTCAACTCTCACAAATTTCACAGTGTAATTCGAATTTTCTATAGACAAAAAAGAAATTTTTTTTCTAAACAAAAAAATAGATTATTTATCCCGCACAAAAATTTATTATATATTAAATATTCATATAACTATAAAAATTAATTCATTTAAGAGCATTTGAACCTTCGTGACGTCACAAATCATGGCGCATGACACGCAAACTTCTCAGGTATGTGAAAAGCACAATTTTGAATATTTTTTAAAAAAACCTTTTGGAAAATGTTCAGAATAACATAGACTCTGTCTGTTATGTGCGGAAAATTCAAAATTTTGCGTTTAAAACGTTTTTTAAACAATGTTAAGGTCACAAATCATGGCGCATGACACGCAAACTTCTCAGGTATGTGAAAAACACAATTTTGAATATTTTTTAAAAAAACCTTTTGGAAAATATTCAGAATAACACAGACTCTGTCTGTTATGTGCGAAAAATTCAAAATTTTGCGTTTAAAACGTTTTTTAAACAATGCCTACATATAAGCAATTCGTGTATTTTTCCTTACTTGTGACAACCAACTTAAACATTGTTTAAAAAACGTTTTATACGCAAAATTTTGAATTTTTCGCACATAACAGACATAGTCTATGTTTCTCTGAACATTTTCCAAAAAGTTTTTTTAAAAAATATTCAAAATTGTGTTTTTCACATACCTGAGAAGTTTGCGTGTCATGCGCCATGATTTGTGACCTTAACATTGTTTAAAAAACGTTTTAAACGCAAAATTTTGAATTTTCCGCACATAACAGACAGAGTCTATGTTATTCTGAACATTTTCCAAAAGGTTTTTTTAAAAAATATTCAAAATTGTGCTTTTCACATACCTGAGAAGTTTGCGTGTCAAGCGCCATGATTTGTGACGTCACGAAGGTTCAAATGCTCTTAATTACATTTAATAAAAAAAAGTTTTTTACAGGTACAAATTTTAATGAATTAAATTAAATTTGTTTTATAACATAAAAAATTGTATTACTCAAATATGCAGTTATTAAAATTTTGAGTTATTTGGATAAAATAAAGTAAAAATAATGGACACAATATCACAAAGAGACAAACTTTAATTAATTTGATTTCAACAAATATTTCATCAACATAGAGTAAATATTTGATGAAAAATAATTTAATTTATAAAATAGTTTTCAATGATGCTCAAAGTGAATATTTAATTCTTCTGAAAATATGGCCGTGGGCTACTTTTGTTAATTTACAAAATTGATATTACATACATATACCTACAAATTTTTTTTTATTTCTATTTTAATATAAATTATTGTGCGCATATTTAAGTGAAATTCGCAATATTCAAATAAGGGAAATAAATGTTAATTACAATTATGTAAAAAATTTTAAAACATAATATACAAATTTACATATAAAAATATAATTAATTAAATTATTTACAGTAAGTAAATATGAAATATTAAATTAATTCGAATCAAAAGAAATCAAATTCATTTATCGAAATAAATTAATTTCAAAAGAATAATTTAATTTTTGGTTTAATATTTT